ACTAGTTAAGGTAATTTTATTTTATATAGCTTTAGTAATATTTTAAGAATAAAATAAATAAGCTAGCTTATTTAAAATTTAAAAAGCTTTTTTAAAATTAATAATAGCCTAAGCACATGTATAATATACCAGGCTAGTATTATAAAAGCTAAAATTTAGGTTTTTTAAAAATATATTAGCTTTAATAGCTAAATTAATAACTTTTATTACTAAATTTTTAGGATTTATATACCTAGAAAGGTCCCTAAGAGCTAGGCTTTTTAAAAATTTATTTTTAAGGTTTTTTTTAGTATTTAAATTAGCATTAGCTTAAGTTAGTAAGTTTTTAAAAATAAAGATTTCTAAAGATACTAAAGCTTTAGGTACCTTAAAAATAAAAATCCCTAGAGGGTTTAAAGCTCTAGGCAGCGCCTTAAAAATAAAAATCCCTAGAAAAGGTAAAGCCTTAAAAATAAAGATTTTTAAAAAAGGTAAAGCCTTAGGGATAAAAATCCCTAAAAATATTAAAGTAACTACTTTTAGTAAAAAATCTAGCCTAATATAATAATTCTTAATAATATTAATATTATATACTAAAACCACGTGGCTATTATTTAAAAAAACCTAGTATAGCTTATTTATTTTTTTATTAAATTTAACTAGCCTTTTAGTTTTTATTTTACTATTTTTATAAAGCTTTTTTTACTTTTTTAGTAGGTTTAAAATATAAACCTTAAACTAAAAAATATAAATATAAAAAATATTTAACTAGTGGCTATACCAGGCTTTAAATAATATAATATTATTTAATATAAAATATAAAGTTTAATTATATAAATAACTAGTATTTTTATAAAACTTAAATCACATGTTAGCTAAGGCTTTAGTATTATATAATATAAATTATATAAGGCCTAGTAGCTTGCTAATAAGTACTTTAACATAGTTATTTTATTTATACTAGTTTATATTAAAGGTTTTTATAATAACTTTAAAGCTATAAATAAGGTATTATAAGTTATAAATATTTTCCCCCCTTTAATTATAGCATACATGGTGTAATAAAAGTTTAAATATATTATACTAGTAAATAATAAAAAAAGCCTAGGTAGTAAATTTATTCTTGCTAGCTAGTATTATAACCTAATAATAATAAGTTTTATTATTTATAATAAAGTTAATATATACTTTTTTATTAAATAAAAGTAAATACAGGCCGGAAATATTTATATAAAGTAATTTAAATAACTAATTAATAAATATTATAATATTTTTATAAGGCTTAGCCCGCTAGTATATAATAATATAAAATTTATAAATATAGCCTTTAGGCATGTGCATGTTATAAACTACCTTTTTTATTTTATTAAGCTAATTTTTAAAGATATAGCCTATTTATTAGTACTAAAGCTAAAAAAATTTATTTTAAAAAATAAAGGTTACTAGTATTAAAATAGCTAGTATTACTAGCCCCTAATAAAAGTTAAAAAAAATACTTTATAAACTTTAGTAATTATATACTATACTAAATTATAATTATATAAGGTAATAATATTAGTATTTTATAGCTTTTTAACTTTTATATTCCACTAGCTAAAGCTAACTAAGTAGCACTTATTTAATAGTTAAAAAATAAAAATTAATATAAAAAATATATTTAGGTAGTATAAAATATTATTTAAAGCTAAAATTTTAAGCTAGCTATTAATATAATAAGGGATTTTTATAATATTAATACCCTAGGTACTAAAAACTTTAAAATTAATACCCTTAATACTAGGGCTAGTATAGGGCTTAAAATCTTAAAATAAAAAATAATTATAAGTAATATATTATATATAGCTATTATTTAGGGTAATTTATTAAATAAGACTATTTTAAATAGTTTTTTACTTAAAATTTAAGTTAATTTAAATTATAAGTACTAGCTTAAGCATAAGCTTTATATTTCCCTTAAATTTAAAGTTTTTTTAGGGGCGCTTAGCGCCCTTATTATTTTAAAAGTTTTTTTAAGTAGTTTTAAGCTTAAAATAAAGTTAATAACAGGTTTTTTAGCTATAAAAAAGCATGTTATAATAAAAGTAATAATATATAATAATATTCACGGTATCCTTATTTTTATATATTTAAATAATATTAAGGTAATTTTTATAATATTTAATATTAAGTTTAAATACCTTATTAAAAAAAAGCACTAAAATACTAGTACCCTAGTTCTAGTTTAATTTAGTAAACTTAGTAATAATTATAAAGTTATTTAAAAAGGTAATTAGCATAATAATATCCCCTAAAAAGCATTTAATAACATAGTTATTAAAGTATATAACCTTAAAATAATTAAATTAATTACCTAGGGCTTGGTAAAAAGTAGTAATAATAAGTTTAATTAAAAAAATAATATTAATATAGGTAAATTCTTGCTAAATCTTCCTAAGTTTCTTACTAAAATTAAGAATACTTTTATTATAAAATAGGAATATTAAATTAGCCCAGGCCTTAAAAATTATAATATTAATATTAAGTTTAAAATAGCTTTTAATCTTATTAAGTAATTTATAAACTATTTATTTATTAATAAAAAGGTTTTATAAATTAAAACCTAAATAATTAAAAATTAAAGCCATGGCCTGGTCTTGGTTTTGCTACTAAATTTTAGCCTTATTATAGTTTATTAAAGGCATGGGCTTAGTAATAACCTTAGTAATAGCGGCCTTAGTAGCAGGTTAAGCAAAAAGTATAGTAATAACTAAAATTTTACTATTAATACTTATATTTTTAACTTGGCTTATAATAAATTATTAGCCAGGGGTCTTAATATTTTTGCTTGCTAAAATTAATATAATAAAAGCTAAAATAATAAAAATAGTTCTTACAGGGCGCCTTTAATTTAATTACTTTAAAAAATAACTATAGCTAGCCTTTTAAAGCTTTAAAAATACCTGCTAGTTTTATTTAACCTACTAGTTTTTTAATATTAAAACCAGGATATTCTCTGCTTTAATTAAGGTTATTTTTCCTATTTTAGTTTAACATAAAAAAATTAAATATAAAAAAACTAAATAATAAAAGGATTAAAATAGTTTAAAAGCTAGAAATTAAAATACTTAAAAATTAAAAACCCAAGGTAATTAAAAATAGTAAGCCCTAAAAAGTTATTATAATAAAATTAAGGTTAAATAAGCTAAAGCTTATACTAAAAAAATTATAAAAAAAAAGGAAAAATTAATAACTAAAAATAGCTAGTTAATTATTTAAAGATTAGTTTAAATTTTTAAGAAATAATTAAAGTTAAAGTTTAAATTAAAAAATTTAAAGATGTTATACTACCTTTAAAGGTCCTAAAACTTTTTAGCTACTAAAAAAAACTTATTTTTATTAAAAAATTAAATACATGTAGCCCTAGAAAGGGGATATTTATAAAATTAAAAATTAATTAAAAAAGTAAAAAAAAAAATAAAAAATTTAAGATAAAATAAAATAAAATTATAATATTTAAACCTTTATAGTAAGGCCTTTGCCCTAAGTATAAGGCTTTTTAATTATTATAATAACTAGTAAAGTTATAAAAAAAATATAAAATTAAATAAGTAAAATAAGAAAATACCATGTATTTAATTAATATAAGTTAACTTAAAAAAAATTTTTTTAATTAAGTATATAAGTTAAGCAAACCCGGGCTTATAACCTACTAAAAAAAATAAATAATTATTATATATAAAAGTTTTTTATATTACTTAGTATACTAAACTAAATATTTTAGGGATAAATAAAAAAGTTTTACGGGTGGTTATTTAGGCTAAAAAAACCTTCCTCCACCGGAGCCCTAAGGCCGCCGGTGGCCTCAGGCACCCACTTCCAGCATTTTCCAGCCCTAACCGCCCAAAAAGGCACCAGAATACGGATACGGCAGACACCACAAGGCAGCAGTCATTTTACCCTGTATATCTATAACACAAGAATTAAGTAACAAGACAAGATGAAACAAACCCCGTGGACCCAACAGGTCGGGAGGGTCCGCAATCAGGGCCCACGCCACTCAACTTCCTAACAGGGGCTCTTTGTTCTTCTCTTCCTCCACTCCAGCTAGCTGCTAAGCCACTGGACATCTCGGAGTCCTCCGTACCAGGTAAGCGGTGCCAGGTAAGCGGGCCAGATACTTATACCGTAGGTCTCGCGGTTCTTTGTCCTCTGCAAGCTAACGAAGATCTCTCCAAGGTTATCTACCGGAGCTCGTAATGAGGAAGAATATGTGTTTTTTATCCCAAGGCAGTCTCTCAAACCTGAAGGATTGGTATTCTGGACATCTACTGGGTCCTGATTAAGATCTCGATGGCCATCGAAAAAATGTCTGCGCTATCAAGGTATAGCTATAGCGAGACACCGCGGGGAGTAGTTGCGTGCCCACTCGAGGTATAATTACCTGAACCATGCTGTATCTTGTCCAAGGGCGGGCTGTATAGAGAAGTGCCGCTGTCAATGAGCCCTGCAAAGCCTGGGGCGAAGAACTCAGGTTTAAGATCCCTGGTCCGTCATTAAAGCCTTAGCTAAGCGGGACAAGCCTTTATGTGTCATCACCTTAACTGTGCTCTACCCTGTCCCAATGGCGGCCTGTATAGGGAAGTGCCGCTGTCAATCAGTCCGACAAAGCCTGGGGTGGAGGGCTCAGGTTTCAGATTCCGATCCACCATTGAATCTTTAGCTAAGCGGAACGACTTAGTCAAATGAAAGCATATGCTATAGATATTCTGGTACGGGGTAGGATAGGAGGGAGGTGCGTTGTCTGGCCGACATCTGGAAGAAATTGGCAACGCTCAGATTAACCTCACAGAATCTCGACAAAGTACCAAGCCTCCGGTGGGATGCTTAAGTCGATGTCCGTCGTTAATTATAGGAGAGCTTTTATATATTATCCGGCCTCGGTGGCCCGTGGGCAGCTACTACTCTACCTCATTGACAATCAATGACATATCCCAGTAGGTAGGTTGCTTCGCTCCCTTACGTGCAACGATACCTAGAATAGATCATGCATTATACTGCCTCCACAAAACCGGGAAAACATCCATAATCCGCTCAACATCCGCCTGGCAATTATACCCATGGAAGCTAAACCGTACTCTTCCATTGCCATTCCACGCATATACCCCAGCCGCGCGCATCTCGGCCACAATCTCTGCTGCACCCTTGCAATGGACAGTCACGCTGGATCCGTGATTCCTCTTCTCTCTGGGCGTCGAGGACGGAACCCCTTCTCTTTCAAGGGCCTCAAGAAGACTAGTCGTGAGAATCTGCACATGTTTCTCAATCTGCGCCGCGTCCCACTGAGCCAGGAAATCCAGACTTTCGCGCAGGATATAGATAGGCAGATGACTCGGGTTCCCCCGCGTGAAGACCAACGCATCATCTCGAAGACTTATGGCCTGCGCTTCCCACTGCGCTCGAGTAGTGGGCAACGGATCAAGCGAGTGCCATCCAGCCGTAGAAGGTCTCCAATCCGGTTGGCGAGTTTGGCTCCAGTACGCGATCGCGACGCCCGTACTGCTTAATAGCCACTTATGGCAGCAGCTGAACGCGAAATCTGCAATTGGAGCGTCGATGGGCGCGTAGCCGGCTGCTTGGCTGTAATCGACGATGAGAATTGCGCCGACTTTATCAGCGACTCGGCGGTAGTAGGATAGGTCAACTCGGGCGCTGGTGAGATACGAGACGTAGCTGACGGCTATCACTCGTGTATTGGGATTCACGACAGAGTCAAGAGCATCGGCGTTGGCGAAGCGTACTTCAGGAACAGCAACACCACCCCTGGTCTGATGAGCTTGACTTCTGATCTTGAAAGGCGCAATCAGGCTCGGGAAATCATCGGCATCAACGACGACATTGTCGCCCTCCTCCCAGTGCAGAGACTCAACGACCATCGAGACCCCGTCTGCAACGCTCGGCGCGAACCCTATTTCGTTTATGCTCGTGGCTTTCCATTCCTGGGAAATAACGACGCGGACGTGGTCCAGCTGCTGAGACTTGAACCTGGGGCCTATATGTCCGGCCGCCTTGTCTTGCATGTATTTTGCAAACGCAGCATTGTGCGAGTTGAGTGGGAGGCTTTCGCCCGCAGCGCAGACATGCGTTATGCCCGGGGTGGAACAAAAAGCGTCGAGGGAGAAGAGGGGCTTGTCTGCCATTGTATTTTGTCCCATGAGATGTGAAAGGCCGAAGAATGATTGATCATGGACGAAGGGAACTCGAGATGGAGTGCAATGACTCACTGCACTCGAATGACGCTATCAGTCCACTGGCTGACCCGCACGCCTTGGCCGAGCCCTATTAGATCTAATATATGGGTAGTGGGGGTTGTCAATGTCTAGGAGCTATGTATACTCCCAGCAGAGAGGCCAGTATGATGACAGCTTCCGGTTTTACGCATTCGCTAAACCAGACGAGTATATTGGCCTGACGACTAAAACATGTGCATCGCTACCTTCTCGCCATGCTTCAGGACATATCTACTCATCAACGAACGCAATGGCGTCAGCAATCTCCTCATCCAAGTCCCTGTTATTGCTGTAGTTCCGGTGCCCTTTACCATCATCACTATCAACATCAAAGGAATATTCTTAAGAACCCTCTTCACCACTGTCCAACGAATCACTGCACTCCCCAGCGTCGGTCTTATTATGAGAGCCTGTGATACCCAGCGTCGCGAGGTACTCCCGTGTGTCAACCGTATGCTGTCTATTGTGCAATTGTGCCAAGGCAGCTTGGAGAATACCATGACCTTCATTGTCCTTTGCGTGTATATCTGCCCCTTTATTGACTAGGTACTCGAGGGCCGGAACAGGTGAGGGCATTCCATCGTATACGCCGAGCACGCAGTGATGGAATGGCGTTCGGCCTCGGAAATCCCTGGCCTCAATATTCGCGCCGCTGTCGACGAGTATTGCCACCAGGGTTGGATTCCGGATAAGCGCTGCACGATGCAACGGCGTTTCTTCGCACACCTGTGCCACGTCAAGCTGGATGCCGGGGTGGTGGGCTAAGATGTACAAGACCTTATGCTTGTCGCTGCCTGGCAGGGCTGGTGGTTCTTCTAACTCAGGTATAGCGAAGTGGAGCGGCGCGCTGCCGCATCTGTTTTGGGCATTTACGTTCGCGCCTCGTGCTAGAAGAAGCCGAACTGTAGCATCGTGACCGCTCATCGCAGCACAGTGAAGAGCTGTATCACCCATATGATCGCGATGGTTAATGTCGGCTTCCTTGTCTAGCAGAAGGCGAACGGTCGAGGTCCAGCCGCGCCGAGAAGCAAGCATCAGCGCAGTTCTACCTGCAGAATCCTGCTGGCCGACATCACACCCGCTCTTGAGCAGCGTCTCCACGATGGTGACATGTCCATTGCCTGCAGCAAGAAGCAGAGATCCAGACTTCTGTTCTCTTGTCGACTCGGGCGTACCGCCCGCCTTTGTGAGCCATCCCATAAGGCGTGAGAAGGGCGCTGCCCATCCATTGGCAGCAGCCATCGCAAGCGCACTCCGTCCTAAGTTGTCATTCGTCTCCGGGTTAGCCCCCTTCTCCAAAAGCAGCGCCAACACCGACTCATGGCCATAACAAGCAGCGCGGTGTAGCGGTGTTTGCCCGCACCTGTCCACGACATCGACCTGCGCCCCATGACGTATCAGCAGCCGAGCAATCTCGACGTTTCCAGACTCGGCAGCAGCTTGGAGTGGTGTCCCAAACTTCCCCGTCTGCCGCTTGTCGTCCGCATTAGCACCAGCGCTGAGCAGCTGCCGAACGATCGCCTCGTGCCCTTGTGCAGCTGCAGCTTGTATGGCGCTTCCAAATTCGCCCCCAACCTGATTTACATCCACACCACGGTTCAGTAACATGCGCACGATCCCAACTGATCCTTTACTTGCTGCGGCCTGGAGTGCCGTTCCATATCTTCCCGACAGGACATCCGCGTCCATGTTGAGAGTGGGGTCAAGTAGTCTTTTTACCATCTCCTCGTGGCCTTCAGACGCAGCTATTTGTAAAGCCGTTGCCATCCTCTTCCCCTTTACTGCTGAGCTGGCGCCCTTGGAAAAGAGAATATCAGCAATTCCTGTGTGGCCACCGAGTGCTGCGGCATGGAGGGCAGTCACACAAAAATCCATGTCATCCATTGCGTCGTCATTCCAGTCGGACATACTACCCCCATCGGACGTTGCTAAATCCTCTCCGTAATCAAAGAATCTAGATGATTCGACTAGTGCGTTGACATCTAGCTCATGGTCCAGGAGCAGGCGCACGGCCTCGACATGGCCGCTTAAAGCAGCCTCCAGTACGTGAGACGGATGTAGAGAGGTGGTATCAGCGCTTTGTAAAAGTAGCTTCAGGACACCCACATCTCCCTGCTCACAGATTGCATCAATGACGCGGCGAGTCACTTGGGCACCATTCTTCAACAAGAGTCGTACAATAGGCCCATGGCCCTCTCTTGCCGCAACAACCAATGCTGGATCAAGGGAGTAGAATTTGCGGCACTCGACCTGACTCAAGAACAATGAGGTAATGCCTTCATGTCCTGATTCTGCTGCTGCGTTGAATGCATTTTGCACAGAATACTTGCCATCCTTGGAGGTCGACAGGCTCTCCACCTCTTGTACTTTAAGTAGGAAAAGCTTCACGATATTCTCATGCCCTTTGCCTGCAGCGCATTCCAACGGTGACGACAGTGGGTGTCGGCGTTGAGGGCCACTCCTTTCATGGGAGCGATGGTTTTCTATGTCCCCAAGCAGGGTCGACATAAGAATGCCAGACGGACTGACACCACGCCCCAGTAAGCTTCTCGCCCAGTCTTCGTCACCGGTGGCTGCCGCCAGTCTGAGTGCAGCCAGTAAGTCGTCACGGCGATAGGGACATCCTTCTTTTGTGCTAAGCAAGAACTTTACCAGCGAGACATTTCCGCTGGCTGCCGCAGCCTGAATGGCAGTGCCATAGCCCCTATTCTCGGTCATGATGTCTGCGCCATGTTGCAGAAGAAATTTGACGACGTTTATATGACCAGCACGACATGCAACCTGAAGTGCATTCCCGATTATAGACCCCTGTTCAACAAGCAACTGTACAGATCTGACGCTCCCGGCGGCGGATGCGGCTTGCACTGCCGTCTCGAATGAACCCCCTTTAGTGCTTGGATCTGCGCCACTTTCTAGAAGCAAGGCAATCATCTCGTCAAACCCGTCTCGCGCCGCAGCCTGCAATGGGGTGCCGTATGTTCCTGCGACCAAGTTTGGATCTGCCCCTTGTTGCAGTAGCAGGCGCGCAATATTGCAATTCCCAGATCGAGCCGCTGCCTGGAGCGCAGTGCCGTAAACTCCAGCCTGGATATTGACGCTGGCTCCTCTTTCGAGGAAGAGTTTGACAAGATGGAAATGTGATCGGCGGCATGCCGCAATCAACGGCGTCCCATACGTCCCATTCTGGGAGTCGATATGACTCCCGGCGTTCAACAGGTCAGTAGCGATTGTGATGCTCCCACACACTGCTGCCGATTGCAGAGCACTGCCATATCGACCACCTTCCCTGTTAACATCTACCCCCGGGGCAGACAGTAGTTCGCTCACCACAGCGCCACGGCCTGCCCGAGATGCACCGTGTAGCGCTGGACCGAAACCCGACCGTCTGAGGTTCATGTCGAGTGTTCTATCTATGACCAGTTGCATTTCCGATTCTACCTGGGTCTCCCAACTGGGATCATCCTCCAGGTGGTATGCGTTCCGATCATTGACAATCCTTCCAATGGTCCTTCTTATAGCGTCAGCAGCGGTCGTATTAGGCACCGCTTTGTAGATAGTGTCGTAGTCACCTCCAGGGGCATTAACATCAGCACCCTCTGCCAAGAGCTCCTTGACCACTTGCACGTGTCCGCGAACTGATGCAGCCTGGAGAGCAGTCCCGAACTGTCCCCCCTCTGCCTCCACATCGACACCATGCCGGATAAGCCGCTGAACGATGTCAAGATGTCCATGGAGCGCAGCGGCTTGGAGTGCCGTTCCGAAGCGTCGCCCCTGCACCTTTGCATTTGCCCCTTGGCCAAGAAGAAGTTCAACGATTTCAAGATGGCCCGAGGCGCTTGCCCGTGTCAGGGCCGTCTCTCCATATCTATCTTTTGCGTCGAGATCCGACCCTCCATCCAACAACTTCTGAGCGACCGTGAGGTGGCCATACTGACATGCTAGATGAAGGCCCGTTGCGCCCATGTCATTTTGGCTTCTGAAGAGCTCTGGTCTTGGGCTGCGGTAGCGGGCGACGACCTCGGTGAAACCAAAGGCGCACGCGGCAAAGAACGCTGATTCCGGGGAGCAGAGCGCCTGCAAGACCTTGTCTTTAAAAGGATCATTCAACTGCAAGAGGTCGGACACTGGGCCGAGTAGGTGTAGCCATTGTTTGAACCAAGGTCTGATATTGCCGTTCGCCAGACATAGATCACTTAGCGCATCTTGAATCGTAGCGGACGGACGGTCCGGACCGGCTTGTTCGATGTGAGACGCCCAGTACAGGACAACATAGCACTGAAGAGAGTCTCCGCGCGCAGTGAGAGGTTGCGGGACCGTGATTCCTTGGACGACCTCTCGAAGGCAGATATCGGCCACAGTAGCGTGTCTTTCTGATAGAGCAAAGCCAGGCTTCTCGTCGAAGAAATCCCTCACGGAGGTGTGGATAAACCGGAAGGTGTCCAAGCCCTCGTCTACCTCGACAAGGTTGCTGCAGCAGTCAAGAATGATGGCCTCTGTGATTTCACCAAGACTGAGGTACTGGGCAAGGGCCCCTCGTAGCTCGCTCCTTCCCAAGGGGGCCCGGGCACACAACAGCCAGCGGAACATGGTCACTGCTGTTTGACGCATCACTGGCCCTGCTCCTTCGATTCTCTCATGAATAGCAGCATATAATCCCGCAAGTCCTGTGGGAGACTTCTGAACAGTTGCCAGAACATCCCTATCGCACGATGTTTGCTTGGGATCGCTTAGAAGCTCAGCTTGTAACTTGATCCAGAGAAACCTGTCGCGGTCAGCGTCATCCTCGTAGGCCTTCAGGCTTATGCTTACATTCCCTGCGCCCCAGTGTTAAGACGCTCGGTTAGTTCGTTTTCGAACATCTCAGGGACGGGGATGTTTCGCAGCTTCATGCCTTCGACGCACTCGTTTGCTTTGGCCTTGGCAAACCTCAGAATGTCATCGCCATTGCCGCTGACCTCCATGGTAGACAAGCCTCGCAGAGCACCCAAGCGAGCGCCTATGTCTAATGACGGCCTGCTTGACACCAGTATTCTCACCACGCGGTTGCCACTAGGTTCCAGCAAGAACTTCATCAATTCCAGAAGTTCCTTTTGCTGCACCGGTGTACACTCGTCAAACCCGTCAATGAAGATCATGGTGTCCTGGTCGACCAACTGCAGCAACAGATCGCGAGTATCCGGAAAGACCATCGCTTCGTTCCCGGAACCTTGCTCTTGCAGGTCCTGGTATTTCCGCACTACGGCGCCACGAATAGGCTTGCCTGGGCCTTCTCTGGACATTTGCTTTATGATGTTCCGCGTAATGGCCTCGGGTTCGTCATCAAAGTGCCTTTTGACATTCCGCGAGGAGTATACGTATGCCAACGCGCACGCTTGAGTCGTCGTTTGATTTACTCGAACACTGTCAATGAGCAAGGACCTGCAAAATGTTTAGCTCGTTGATCTGAAACCCTACAGAACAAATGACGTACACCAAGGTGCTCTTTCCAGTCCCCGCTTTACAGGGCAAGGTCAGCGTTTATTTTGGATCTCCGTAGTGGCCCATGCTGGACTTACGCTGTCCTTTTAGCCACAGAATGGACGACTCGCTCGAAGTCCGCCAGTCCTTGTACTGCTGTTGATCAAACATCCACAGCCCCGTGCCTTTCAGTCGAGCGACGCGGAGCCCTTGGTGGTATCTATCGTATGAGACCGGGGAAAGCCAGTTGAGGATACCAATCTCCTGCTGCTCTGTATGATGTCAGCTGTGGCCCACTAGTCAGCGGACTGAGGTCGATACTTTTCAGATTCTTGACGAGATCAACCATGCCGTCTTGGATCAATTTTGTCGGACCCTGGATGTCGCTTAACGCCTTCCTCAAGTCTTCCACACTGTTTTGCGTCGCGTTCGCTGCGTCCCGGGCATCTGTAAACTTAAGCTATTGAGATGTTCAAGCAATGGTCGATCATCATACATTCCGAATCTACCAAACGGCCAAGATCGTCAACGATCACCTGCTGCGCCTTAACCTCCTTCATCAGTGCTTCAAGTTGGTCGTATGACCAGACACCGCCGATAATGCGTTCTACCGTATCTCTGTCAGCATCACCAGGTTACGATAAGTGTAACTTACTAGCAGTTCCTTTCTCATAGTACCTCTTCAACTTGGTAACGAATGTCAAGGCGCGAGAGTACAGCCTAACTATCTCACTCGCCAACAACTTTTTGATTTGCGACTCCTCGCCCAGGTATAGACGCTCAAAGACTGTATACCGAGGGACAAGGACACTCATCATCAACATGCCCTCATGAGCAAGTGCATCACGCTCGAAATACTTCTCGGCGATCTAAATACCAAGCCCGTGTCAGTCGATCCCAATGCCAAACTGGAATTCAAGTTTACCTGAAGGCTGAGTCCAAAAGCAGCCCACGGAATGGCCATATGCGCAGGGTCCAGCGCAGCGAGCGAGTCACCAAGCTTCTTGAACCACACGACTTTCTCAACCACAGCGCTGAACAAAGTATGAAGCTCCACCTTCGTCCCGTCGCGTTTAGTGTATTTCCATTTCTTAGCTTCGCTCTCCTCCTCTTTACTCTTCGCGCGGGCGAGGACGTCATCAAGGACATTTAGCTTGTCAGCCGCGTGACCCCATATCAAAGCTCTGTCGGCGTCGTCAAGCTCCTTTATCGCTTCAACCCAGAGGTCTGCAGTATCCGCCACAGCTTCTATATCTATAGCTTGTTAGCACGAATTCGACGGCAAGTGAACGGTCAGCAATACCGGGTTGCCCCATGCCGATGACTTGAAGCTGATGAGGTCAGGACGAACTAAAGTCAGGATGACAGCGGGTGGACGCCTTTTGGAGTGCTTGTGCTCAGAGTATTGCGAATACCAGACAGATGATTAGGATAGATGAATTAAAGGAGGGGTTCGCCCGGCTGAAAGTGAGATCGAGCCCGAGCCCCGCGCTTATGCAGCTGGCGCTGGCAGAGAAAGGCTGCCAATCAACATGGCAGAATAACCCTGTCAATGCGGGCCGGACCGTCGAATAGGATGTGCGAAGTTGGAGACAACTGGCAGTGGGATGCGGAATGACATCGTTGCTCTTGCGAATCTACCTTGGTCAAACAGGGTTTCCGTTTCGCGGCGACTGAGGTGTAGTTTTGGACTGCCAACAAGGGAGACACCGAGTGTGGTCGGCCAGCAATATCGGGAGAAGAAGAGACTTTGTTCCTGTGATTGGAGGATGTTCATTCCCCAACCATCCACGGGACTTTCGAAGATGTATCGTATCGCCGAGGAGGCTCGTTGTAGTCAGCCCTATTTATCATCGAGCGTAACATGAAAGTCTTAAATTCCCAAATCAGCTCGGCGTCCATATTACCTCTTGACTCATCCATACCTTACCGATGAACGACGTCCCTGTTTGCATTTCACCAAAGACGAGCGGAGGACCGACCAGGAGTCGACAGGGTATCCCTTCAATGTTAGAACGTAAGCGGAAAAATCAGTTTCTAGCCTGACTTGGTGGACACGCCGGTGTAAGAAAGAAGATAGCAGATTATATCGATAAAGACAGTCAGAATGAATCTTCAGTCAATCTAAGTACAGAGCAAGACCTCCTGAACATCAGCAACATGAACCAGTAAGCACTTCCACCGCAGCGGTCTCAGCACGGACGCTATTCTTCTCATTAGCAGAAGACATCTCAAACGCAACGCCAGCATCTTTCATAATTCTCCTCTCCGCCATTTTGACCGCAACATCAAAAGCATTCTGCATACTCGTCATGCCCGCGAGGTTCTTACCAACAATATCAAACGCTGTCCCATGCGCCGGCGTCGCAACTGGAACCGGCAATCCGCCCTGCACCGTGACCCCGCCGTCAAACGAGAGCAGCTTCATCGCGATCTGACCTTGATCGTGGTACATCGTCACAATGCCGTCAAAGTGCTCACGCTTGAGGAAGATAGTGTCGCAGGGGAACGGACCCGAAACATCGATGCCGAGCTCGCGGGCAGCCAGAACGGCAGGTCGGATGTGCTCTATCTCTTGACGGCCGAAAGCCCCGTTTTCCCCGTTGTGGGGGTTCAGCGCACAGACGGCTAGGCGTGGGGAAGAGAGGCCGGATTCCCATCTGGTGGTGTTAGCTTTGCGTAAATAAAGACTGGAAAGAGCGAGATACCTCAAGCGATGCAATAACTGAATAGCTTTGAGCGTCGACTCCTTTGTAATGCGCTGCGCGACCTCCTCGATGCCGATGTGGCTTGTGACTCGAGCAGTCCACAGTGGCCCGGCAATATTGATCTCGCTAGTGACACCATTATAGTCTAGCTGGTTCGCGAACCACCGAAGCTCGTCCTCCTCGGCCATTCCCGCCAGCTTTAAGGAGCTCTTGTTCAAGGGGGCAAAGACAATGGCGTCAATATCGCCGACCTGAACTAGTTTCAGTGCTCTCTTAAGTTGATGGATGCTACGAGCCCCGCTCGCTTGAGAAACCTCACACCGAGATGTCGGGTACTGCCCAGCACTGTCATCGTCGAGGATTTGAGTTCCGTGCGGCCCAGGGGATCCTGAGGAGATGGTGACGTGCACGCCTCCTGCGTCTGTTATCGCCGCTTGAAGCTCGGTCTTGTCCGCTAGTAGGATAATATCAGCCCTTTGGTGATTCGCTGGGTTGCTGAGGAGCTTAGCGATTATCTCTGGCCCGATGCCGGACGGGTCGCCCAGTGTAACGGCAATGCGGGGACGCCGCGGCGGGGAAGTTTGAGGTAGATCAATTGCTACAACCATGGCAAGGAAGTAGAGGATTAGCGAATCAAGGAGCTATAGACTCCTCCAAATAGTGGTCTGATACCGTACTATAAGGAGTGGTTATAGGAGCGGTCGTTTGACTCGCGGCAAAAGTGCCGTGATAACGCCCGGCGGTTTTGCCGAAGCTGCAAGGGTCCAGCACGGCACTTTCGCCGGAGCCAGTCTACTCCATATCCCCACGGGGATTTTCTGTCTCGGCGTCAAATGTATGCTTTGGCAGCTCGGCTCTATATAAGGATCAACGGCAGGCTGGAACGCGGCATTGGAATACCTGAAGCGGAAAACAAATCTGCCACTCAAAATGTCTTACCCGAACGAAAAAGAAGCCGAGCATATGGAGCGAGTCTCTACTATCGAGAACGACTCGGCGTTGCATGACAAGGGCGCCGCCGCCGAAGCCCACGCAATCGCGACTACCTGGGTAGACGGCACCACGCAAGAGAAGAGGTTGGTCCGCAAGCTCGACTGGCGTATCCTCCCTTGCACGTGGGTTTTGTATCTCCTTGGGTTTCTCGATCGAGCCAACATTGGGTATGTCACCTGAGGCAACATAACCTGCGTCGGACCAAAGCTAAGCAGAGTGCAGAAACGCCAAAACAGGCGGCCTGGAGGAGGACTTCGGTTTGACTTCGTCTCAATACTCCATCATCGTGCTCGTGTTCTTCATCTCATACCTCATCTTTGAGGTCCCCGCCAACATGATTCTGACTCGCGTGCGGCCGAGCGTGTTCCTTCCTGGACTGGGTTTGATCTGGGGTACATTCGCTGCGCTCATGGGCGCAACGCAAAATTGGAGCCAGTTAGCCGGAATGCGGTTCCTCCTTGGGTTTGCTGAGGTGAAGTAGCAATGAACAGCAACTGTCTCGAAGAACAGTACTGACGTAGCTGTAGGCTGGCTTCGCGCCGGGTTGCGCATTCTTCCTTTCATCATGGTACCGGCGATACGAACTCGCGACGCGATATGCCCTGCTGTACACCTCGGTGCCGCTCGCTGGTGCCATATCAGGTCTCCTTGCCGGCGTGATCACCGACCATATGGAGGGAGTGTCTGGTTTGCCTGGCTGGAGGTGGCTTTTTGTGAGTCGAGTCTCTTCCGCGCTTCTCGCGAAGGGTCTTCTAATGTTGATATGACCACGACAGATCCTAGAAGGCCTTGGCTCAATCGTCGCATCCGTTATCATCTACTTCCTCATGCCAAACTACCCTTCAAATAGCACTCGATTCCTGTCAGAAGAGGAAAGCCTTCTCGCCTGTAACAGACTGGCAGTCGACGGCATTGCTTTGACGCAAGGATCCGGTGCTGAGAAAATCCCACATTGGGTCGCGTTCAAGATGACATGTCGGGACTGGAGGGTGTGGGCGCAATGTCTTCTCTTTGTCCTAGTGACGGGATCTCAAACGATGCAGTACTTCATCCCAACGCTTGTAGAAAGCTTTGGATGGACAGGTCCTTCTGGTCAATGTAAGCTCGATCATTTTAGACAAAGGAACCCAGTTGGCTAACAGCAATCGCAGATCACACAATCCCCGCGTACATGGCCGCCCTTGTATACGTCGTCACAAGTTGCTACCTAGCAGATCGATACAAACGCAAATGGCAATTCATCTGCGGTCTTTCAGGGCTAGGCTGCGTTCTTTTCATTGCTGTGGCCACAATCAACCCGGACTCTCACAATGACAGAATAGCTCAATACGTGCTCACAATCTTTGCCTTCGGCACAATCTATGGCTGTTCGCCGCTCGTCAAGACCTGGGTTTCAGATGTCATTCCGCAACCGGCTGCAAAGCGAGCAGTAGCCATTGCTCTCATCAACGCAATTGGGAATGCCTCTTCCATTTATAGTACCTGGCTATGGCCAGACAAGGATGCGCCGAGGTACATTCCCGGTTTTGCGACGACGACATGCTGGCTCGGTGTTCTTTGCGTGTGCACGGCGGTATTTGCGTGGTTCTTTGACAAGTATCCGGTTCAAAGAGCCGATCATGCGACTGTGATGGCAGGGGAATTGCAAGCTAGAAGAGAGGAGCAAGATGATGGCGTAAAGGTTTAGTCGGCTTGGGGTTGCATATAATGGGAGGAAGGCCAGTGCCTGCAGACCATGGTAGCGGGACCAGGACCAGTATCATATCGCTAGCGATGGTCGAATGAAACCGAATTGGTAGCATAGTACAGACAATGCTTCAAGGTAATGCACGGCAAGACACTTTCGGCGGATAATTTCAACAGGTGGACGTTACAAAAACGCCGCAAAGTCAGAGTTGTTGACCTCAAAATTGAAAAGGAAGCCATCATCGAAGCGCCAGTCGAGATCGCCGGTGAGGTCAAACGGATCCTGTTGGCGAACGTTGTCTGGTGGTATCGCGAGATTATCCTCGCCTTGGGTTGCTTCATGGTAACTTGAACTGTATTCCGGGCCACGGGTATTGGGTTCGAGGTTGAGAGGATCTTGTTCCGTACCCTCTACCCATCGCTGGTATATTTGGTTATTCACGGGCAAAGAATCTCTGCTTTGCAGCAATGAATGATCAGTAGCCCGACTGGGTGCAAGCCGTTGTAGCAGTTCGTCCAACCCGGTCACCACCTGCCTCACGACGTGCCGCTGGCTTGCGTTATCTGCTACCTGGGATAAGACATGTACCAGCCGCTCCACACTTGCCACTGCCGTTTTCGTATGGAAGTTCAAGCCATATTGAGCCAGGTCTTGACCAGTCTCGGAGATGTGACGTGATAGGTCGCCAGATACAACAGCCATTTTGAGCAAGAATGAACCACAGACAGCAATCATAGCGTGCACGAAAATTGGGAGGCCAATCAATTCTTTCTGCAGGTCGCTGTTTTCAACGACAAGCTTTGCGGTATTCATGGCAGCCATGATAGCAACGTTCGACGCCTCCTGCCTTTCCCAAGTCATGTCGAGGTTCTGAGAAGTGTCCCTCGCTGAGATTCCTCGAAGCGCTACCGAGTTCAGCTGGAAGCGGGCAAGGTGGTAGTACAAAGCAGTTGCTGTGAGCGGAGCCAGAGCATCTTTGCTCGTCAAGTGGTACTCAAGACGCCATTGATCCACAGACATGTCGAACTCCTTCAGTTTGTCGAAATCTTGTCCATTGAGCTCAAGGTCCGGATCGCAACCGTGCATGAAGTACCCGCTTGCCAGAATTCGGAACAGCTTGACCTGTGCCACAAGGCCGCGGTCGCCCTTCGAGGATAATCCGCTCGTCAAAAGCTTCTCGGCGTTCCGAATCGCTGCATCCTCATGCATCATCGGTGGACGCCCGTAAGCAAGGGCAAACTGATGATCGCAGACGTACAAGACGTACCACAGTCGGACGCGCTCATAGGACTCGAGCGATCCCCTGGCAAATTGCAATGACGACTTGTGAAGGTTCATTTCCGTTGCAACTCGGACGGCTCGGCTGCAGAGTGCCCAACTGAGACTGGTCAGGTAGAACGCCCCGATGCAGAGAGCACGGATCACATCCAGGTTCTGGCAGCGTAGCAGGCACGATCCTCTCATCAATGACACAAACGCGGCGTAGGTTGCGTGCAGCGACTGCTCACGATTAGGAATATGAAGCGCCGCAACGGTGAGCACCACGGCTACAAGGAGCGACGAGGACTGTCTTGCTTCGCGTAAGGTCTTGTGAGAGCAGAGCATTCCGTCCCACAGAAGTGGGTTGATGTGAGACCGGTAGTGACTGAAGAGATATTCCGCTTCGGATAGCCCAAGCACACCTTGACTGATGAAGTCGGGTCCGTTGACATCGGCGGGATCGACACGGATTAACTGCGAGTTATTTGCGTCTGTGAGATTATAGAGATTATTCATCGGCAGTGGAACGAGGTCTGAATCATCCTGATCCGTGCGAGAATCAGCTGAAGGCCCTTCGGGAGTGAAGTTTCCGCGGTTGGTTTCCGTCAGAACATTGCTCGGCGGAGGAAGTATTGGTATAGAAGGATGGCCTCGTTCATTTAGGGACTGCGAGGTCGATACAGTATGGTTATTGGTGCTAGCAAGGAGCGGCAGATCGTTGTGGCGCAGAAGGGACTCAACGGCGTCATGTAGCCGATCAATTTTTGCTGCAGCCTCTGCTTTCCATCTAAAATTGTGAGAGATGATTGCGTAAAGCAGATTCGGCCACATACACAGCATCTTCGTCAAGGAATTTCCGAGCAAAGTTATGAGGGACGCATTCGACTCCGCTCTTCAAGCATCGGTTGCATGCAGTCTCGCCAGGCTGGACAAAGCATTTCGTCTTGTGTTCCTTGCAGTCGGCACCTGGTCCTGGTCAGCTATCTCAATCTCGCCATAAATGGGGTACTAGGATTGTGTACAAGCCCGGGTGAGGCGCGGCTTCGCATTTCGAGACTCATCGCCGTCGATCCTTGCACGCTTGTTACTAGCCATTCTGAACAAGAGCTTCGTTGAATCGAGTCCGGTGGGTCTGCATGTCCGGTGGAATGGCCGACTTTATATGGGGGAAGACCCTGTCACCCTCGGCAAGAGCGCCGAAAATCCTCGCCCACGCCATTTTGCGGGGTTGACGTACAACGGGTCGCATCGGATCACGCGGTGAGCTGAGGGGAGTGCCGAAATTGATGAGGATATTCGGGTAATGTCCAAGACAAGAATGATTCGCGCATTGAGAGATGAAAATCGATGAGTAGAGGGATCTGTTGATGGATCTGACGATGGGAGTGCAGCAGAAAGTGACGACGCGGCGGAAACGCGAAGGGAACGCCAGAGCACGTGATTAGCGCCCATCCACCAAACCACGGCTGCCAAAGAACAAGCTCTAGCTTGGGGAAGTAGCTTAGGTAACTCCAAGCGATTCTCATGAGAGCTGGACTTTTGCTACTAAAGGTGGGGCGTGTGAGGTTTTCTCCTCCAGCGAACAGCAAGATATATATTTGAAGTTTGTCGGTTTTTTCGTACGACGATACGTATCAAGGGGGCCAACAGTGAAGCACCCCAAGGTAAAAGCTGCTACGAACGTCGTAAGCCTCTTGATACAGCATATCTTTTTGTATTGACGATGATAGAACGGGTCTAGCTGGCCTGTGTTCGAACTTCGAAGTCTCCATCTACAGGGTACTACGCTTGCCAAGCCTTGAATATCGCACTAGGCTTCAAGAGGCTAGCGTGTCCTGGTGCTGGCCTGCAAAAATATCAGATCGTTCCTTCGCTCTCATCCCGTTCCCCATTATTTTGTCTTTTTCATCCATCGAGCTCCAGTTAGATACTCCCCGTCTTGCCATTGCAGGTAATTGTGCTGCTTACGGCGACCGAGGCGGGGTTCAATTCGACAATGGGTACGTACACTGCTACGACGGCACTTTACCTGCGCTAACCCCCAGCAGAAACACACGGGGTATGTTCCCGCAGGCATTCCGCCTCAAAATCTTTCCTTAATCTCACTTAGCGCATCTCAGATCGTGTTATGCACACTGTGCTCCTCCAATATGTGCGTTGCGCGAGTTAGAACGCTGGACGAGCCTCAAGACGCTTCCTGGAGCCGTATTGCAGCAGATCTATGGCCAGATGGGTTGCATCAGATGTGGTCTTGTTCCACCAAGGAGACAGGATGCCAGTATCAGCTCCGGGATGAGCTTCAGTTAAACAACTTTATCTATGGTGAAGACGAAAGAGACTGGCTCCGTCACAATGCTCACACCTTCTGTGACTGGGACAGAGAAAGACGCCCACAGGCGGGCGACTGGGTCCCAATTGATCCCAAGTATAAGCCCAGACCTGGGTCGATGGCCATTCACCTCGAAGATGTCGAGCATGTCGCTGGACCCGGATGTCGGTATCCCGGCGGCTATATTGGCAAGCGGATCTCAGTGGCAGAGATGCAAGGCTGTAACGTAGTCCAATGTCTGGTGCCCAAGCGCGAAGATTGGAAGCCTGCTGTGGACGACTATCCGTTCGAAAAGGACAGTGCGCACTTCCTGTCCGGAATCCGTGCCGGTCTCTGCGGTCGCGACTCGACTGTTGTGGTGAATCCCATTCGGCATGGCGTTACTGAGATGAGCCACAAATGTCCGATTCTCGATGTATGTGGCTTAGTGTGTGGTGCATTTGCGTATACTAAGACAAACTTTCCAGCCTTTTGACTTTACCACCGACGAGATACCATTCCATCCTTGGTGCTTCGGGACATGGATGAAACTGACATGTTCGCGACTGGGTTATGTGCCCGTGGACGATCTAGTCAAATTCTTGGAGTCCCAAGGTACTTTGCCCTTTCAGCCTGTTCAGCACCACTTTGAGGGGGCTGACCGCTCTTGGGTGTATAATCCAGGCGAGGAGTGGCAGGCTGCCAACCCATTCTATGCTCCGAAACTCCGCAACCTCATGGAGCGAGCAATGGACGTGCCCTCAACATTCACCCTTCATGACGGTGTCTTCCAGCGCACTCCTCCAAAAGCCTCTTCAGACATATTTTCTCTCTTACCGGCAGAACTCCGCCACCTAGTCCTCCAATATCTCCCTTCCAAAGACATTGCCTCCCTACGGCTAGCATCGCGAACTTTCCATCAGCTCCCTGTCTCTCTTTTCTACCGTCTGCTTATCGAAGACATGCCATGGCTCTGGGAAATATGGAGCGACGACCCTCCCTACTTCTGGGCGACTGTTACAGAGAAGAACTTGCAAGACCACGAAAAAGAGGGAATAGACGTGCACGACCCCTACCGACAGGGTGGTACTACTCGATGCGTCATTTCACACACCATTGACGTTGAGAAGCATCTGGAGCAATGGACGTACCCGAAACCATCGCGGTACAAAACTAACTGGTTCACGCTCTACTGTGATATAAAGAAGAACTGGCATGAGCTCAAGGGGCTGCGGAATCGTAAGAGGATATGGGGGTTCCAGACGCAGCTGCTTGATCTCATGAATTGGAGCAAAGACCTGCGCACCTAGGTACTGATTAAGCCGTCCCTATCTTAGTCGCTGTGTGAACTAGCCCACTGGTGCGTAAAGACAATGTCTTAATTATCACTAGGATCTAATCCTGTTCTATAGCAATTGAAGGTTCCCGAGGTCGAGAAGTTCACATGCAGTCCCATTGCCCACGTAGACTACCATAGCATATGGTACTTATGAGCACATACCTACGTACTGGCTAGATACCATTCATCCCCGGACCCCAAACACCTCATATGGATATGACGCCAACTCAACATATCCACATCTAAAACCCCATATCGCTATCCCGTCCTAACATCACTGGATAGGCGTAACCTGAATCCGCTCCAGATTCCGATACGTAACATTCACATACCCCTCCTGAAACGGCTCATCCCCAACAAACCAGCTCCTTGCACTGTCCTCCCCCCGAAGAACCCACTGCATGATCTTCCTCGCCGTAACACCCGAAATCCCCGCGTTCGGCAAATCATACGCAGCGCTATGCCCAAGCGTATGACTTCCCTTCCACGCGGGCGTACTCTCCGGAAGAGAAGCATAATCGCGCTCACCCTGCCCCCGTCAACACCATGTACACTTCCGCAACCAAGTGGGAGAACAGCAGGACACTCACATTAACATACGCCACATCCCCCGCCCCCCCCCAGCATATAAAACACCGGCTTTTCGATCATCCCAGCAATGGTTACACTCTCATTGACGCTCAGAAACCCACTATTAAAGATCCCCAGGTGGCTTACACGCTCGTCATGCGCGCCGGCAGTGTACGCTTCCAGCCCACCACAGCTCTGCCCCCAGACGCCGATCCGGGTTTTATCGATGTGCGTCCAGTCGCCTTTTCCGGCATTTTCGTACACCCAGTCGATTGCTTCGGTCAGCGCGGCGGGATTCTGGCCTGTTGCTTGGCCGGATGAGTTGGAGGAGTCAACGTAGGTTTCTGGGTCGGTGAAGGCTGCGCCTGTCGCGATGGCTAACGAGCCCCAGGAGGTTATCTCGCCGAGGAAGTTGCGGAATTTGAGGCCGACTGGTCGTCAATAAAGGGTCAGGCATTTTATCTTGAAGGACTCTTGGGTGTTGAATGGAAAATATTCAAAACGTACTAAGAATTGTTAGTGAAGATCACTGCTTCAACCTAAAGGGATACGTGCCATGGATCGCAGCCGCCATTTCCCCAGACAATAACCGGGAGTTTGAGGTCAGAGCCGTACTCCTTCAGGCCAGACTCTAGCGGTTGGTAGAAGGTGTGATTTGAAAGTGATTCAACCTCGAAATAATACTAAAGGTTGTATTCAACGGTCTTGTAAGTTCGAAGATGAGGGCAAGGCAAAGGGGAGAACGGCACATATACGTACCGACTTGTAAGGGCCAGAGCCTCCATACTGGTAAGTGATTCCATTTTTAGCATCAACATCTACAAAGATTGTCTGTGAAAGGAGGCTAGCTGGTAACATACTGTTGAGCCATGGTCCGCAGCATTCGCACCAAGAGCAAGCCCGAGGGCGAGGGACATGTAAACTTTCATGATTGACGAACAATAAGTAAGTGATATGAAGTCTGCTGAGAACTACCTAAGGAAGTGCAATTTATCCCCTTAAATATGTGGTCCCAGGGTCCCCTGCCTTTACTCCAACAAGAGCGGGGATAAACGCATTGCAACCCTAGTTTCGAGGATCTGCATGGAGTACGGTAACGGCGGGGCGGCTAAGCACATCCCCGGATTAATGAAGCATACTGTTGCTACCCCGGCAAAAATGCTGCAGAATCTTGATTACAGGGTGTCCCCATCATATGGCCCCATTGGCGTCCCCATCTCTCCATTTGTCTCCATGATGTGGGGACGCGAATCTGTTCAGCCCGGGTAGTATAACCGCGAGGGCTCTGGCGTTGATCGATGGCACCACTCAAAGCATAAGTGAAGTAGAGCAAGACATCTATTCTGACCAGAACTAACACAACATGAACACTAAGGAAAGTCTGGCCAGTGTAGGTCGGCTAGCAGAGGACCAGGGAGCTCATACTATCATACATGTATCTCTTCGATCTGCAGCAATATCTTCGCACAATTAGCAAAGAGCGAACGCTATGGTAAGTGACATACCTTCTCAATAAACTGCACGCCCACAATGATCCCATCCTCATCCTGCAGATCCTGCTCTCGGCCAAATAGATTCGTGTCGCCAGGATCAAGACACGTCAGACAGGATAGAGCAAGGCCAGTGTACCGCTGGCCCATGAGTTCCGGGAGCCTCGCCGTAGCCATCTGCACCAGTGTCCGTTTGACAAGGCCCGGGGACCCTCCAGACACCAGCGCATCTCTTATAGGGCGTAGCTCGTCTCCCGGTTTGTAAGAGTTGCGGCCATTATCAGCTCCCGATGAAACCAATGAACTCCAGAGCCCGATCTCGGCAAGGCAGACTCCCAGAGTGTATATATCGTGCTGCATCACGTATCGGTCCTCAGGGTGTATCCCTTGCCGCTTCGGGTGGCATAGAGATTTTTCTCCCAGCTCGAGTCGCCTGTGAGGAATGTCCCTGCGTCACCGGGGCGGAATCGTTCGAAGCCGATGAGGAAGGAGGGTCCGAAGGGGGAATCCTGTGTCTCGAAGACGACGATGGTATCTGGGCGGATGCTCTTGTGGACGAACCCGGATGTATGCACAAACATGAGGGATCGGACAAGCTGTCTCGCTAGCTGGAAACGATCGTTGAGGGCGTGAGGCGCTTTCTGTAGGAGGATCTGGCGAAGGGTTCGAGGGTTGGAGAGCGATCGGGGGATGTCGAAGACGAGGTTAAACTTGGTGTCATCTCCTTCCCTTGATTTGACGACCCCTCGGCACGGTAGCAGGCCAAACTCGAAGGGATCCGAGTTCGAAAGACGTCTAGCCAAGTCACGGACGTGAATGGAAGCAAGATTGAGGTCAGTTTCTGGAGGGTAGGTGATTGTATCAATGAGGACGTTCTAGGCGGTGCTAGACAAACGCGAGGTGTACGCAGTGGACCATGCCAGTGGGTGCTGATCTCCTGCTAATAAGCTGCTGTCAATAAAGACGGATCGCTTTCTTGCTTTTGGCTCACGGCCCATTGCTTCCCTGAGCTGCTTGAGCTTCTTAGTAGGAACAGTGAAACAATCATTTCTCACTTTATGCCGACTAGACATGGACTAATATTATTTTAGTAATTGCGGCGAAGGACTTGCCGAAAAGTGATATTTATAGTTAATCCCTTGCTGCTGTCCCTTCATTCATAATATGCCAGTCTAGTTACTCATGACACCATGTAGGGCAAGGTCAAGGGCTCACTGTGATACTGTTTCTGTGGCATCGGAAGAGTCTACGCCTAACTTGCTGGTGTGCAGAGTCTAGAAAAGTCACTGTGCACCCACGGTAGAACAAGAACATAGACATGTAGGCTATCCTATCCATAACTCGAGCCTGCATAGACAAGCCAAGTACTCACAGCTCACAGAAAAGCCTATGACTGCACATACCTTGAGTTTTGTCTAACAAATGGAGAGGGGAGGAGGGTCGGGACGAAACTTGTGCACGTTGTGGATGAAATTAGCTTAACAAAGAAAGGTAAAGGTGAGACAAGCCAGTTCCCTTCTGAAATTAATGTTATAAGAGTCCCAGTGCTTAATCCTGGATTATTAATTAAACAGTTCTGCTCACCCTCGACTGTGAGTGCAGAATATACGATACTTGGCCCTCACAGCTGATCATAAAGCTTTCCACGAATTCTGACAAAACTCAGGCTAAAATCACGCCTACCCTAGGTACACTCTGTTTGGCCGGTAGTGATAATGATGATGATGATAATTAACGCCTCAGGAGCAATACTATCTATGTACTATGGTTTTTCATGTGGCTATATAGCCATACCTATATCTATACTTTGTAAAACTATAGTTGTTTCTTCAGAAGTTGTAAGTATTTACAGTATATATGGCCAGAATTAGTAGATATATACTAAAAGTTATAGTCCTCCGTGTAGAATTTTGCGTAATTTGGTATATTCAAAACGTGCAGCACGGAAATACCTAAGCCACGATCCCCGCAGTCAAAGTAGGTAGTAGTGGGGAGCAGGTTTCAAACCTACGACCAGTATCATACTATATGGTACTAGCCTTTAGACTTGACTTAAGAATAGAATGAGCTAGTTCCTGGCCAATAGTGCTGGCACTCTCTAGGATGCATCATGGCTGAGGTGAGCATCGATGGCTGATATGAGCCAACGCAGCCATTCAACCCCTCCGAAGAAAGATCAGCAGTGTGGGACCATGGAGCTGGAGTTAGTTCGACCTCTATTCGCCGAGCCAAGTATGCTCATCCCTTTACCAATGTAAGATTCTCAAGCTAAATATGAGGCCCTTCGAATACCGTACAAGGAAAGCTGTCGATCGAATAGATACTGGAGAATTGAATGAGGAGCGAGATGATATTCAAAAGCTGGAGCTAACTAGGGTTTTTATAGACAATTTGAGCTCCTAGAGATGAGGAGAAATCCAAATACTTTCACCGACACTTTGTGATACCCTAAGAACTGCAGATATCACAGTCGTACGGGCGAGTAATTCAGTGGTAGGCGTTGCAGTATTTCAATTAAGACTGCCCGAGGCGCCTGAGCGCTGTCAGACCGATCTGAGCGTTCTCCACCATTGGCTGACACTAAACGTCAGCCATCGTACCTGCAGTCTACCCTACATGGTATAAAGAGAGCCTTCACGCTCAGCAAAAGCAATACCAGAAACAAACCCGAGGGCCAAAACGAACGCACCATTATTTTGCTTTTTATCTGTTCTCCAGGCGCCTACGGTATCACAATGACCTCCGCCGGACCCAAACTACCCAACACAATGGAATACACCCGGTCTGCTCTCACGCCTCACCCAAACCACGATGACACCGGCTAACCCCTCCAGACTCGGCAACTCAGGCCTCAAAATCTCAAAGGTAATATTCGGCGCCATGTCGCTCGGCTCAACGGAGCACATGAAATGGGCGGTTCCCGAAGCCGAAGCCCTCCCCATCCTCAAGCACGCCTTTGACCGGGGCATCAACACCTGGGATACGGTATGACCCGTCCACCTTTCCCGGTATGCTTACAAAAATACACGGTAGTCTAATATAACGGGCGGAGCAGGCCGACGTTTACTCCTTCGGCGAATCCGAGCGGATCATCGGCAAAGCCCTAAAACACTACGCCATCCCGCGCAACCGCGTTGTCCTGATGACGAAGTGTTTCGGTGGTATCCCGGACCCCGAGGACTTTGCTGGTCTGAGTGAGGAGGACCAGTTCCGGATCTTGGCTTTCAATGACGGAATCATGGTGAACCGCGTCGGGCTGTCGCGGAAGCATATCTTCGACGCCGTGGACGCAAGTGTGCAGCGACTGGGTACATACATCGACGTCCTGCAGATCCACCGACTCGACCGCGACACACCACGCGAGGAGATCATGCGCGCGCTGAACGACGTCGTGGAGAGCGGGAAGGTGCGGTATCTTGGTGCGAGCTCGGTTTGTCTCCTTCCCACCTACAAATCATTCCATGAGGACTGGGTATTCTGATAAATGTGGTAGATGCACGCCTGGGAATTCCAAACCCTAAACACCATCGCCGCCAAAAACGGCTGGCACACCTTCATCAGCATGCAGGACTACCACTCGCTCCTCTACCGCGAGGAAGAGCGCGAGATGCACGCCTACTGCCGGGACGCCGGGATCGGGCTTGTCCCCTGGTCGCCGCTTGCGCGGGGCCTGCTTGCGCGTCCGTACAAGGAAACCCAGGAACAGCGGACGGTGCGTCAAGACAGTGACTTCTATGCTGAGCTCATGACGGGGAAGGTTACGGATGTTGATATCGAGATTATTGGGCGGGTTGAGGAGCTTGCGAGGAGGAAGGGGTGTAGTATGGCGCAGGTTGCGATGGCGTGGAGTCTTAGGAAGGGCGTTAATCCGATTGTTGGGCTTTCTAGTGTGGAGAGGGTGGATGAGGCTGCGGATGCGGTGGGATTGGCTTCGGGGGGTCTGTTGGATGATGGGGATGTCGAGTTCTTGGAGGAGCTGTATGTTGCGAAGGAGGCGTTGGGGATGATGTAGTGGAATATACTTGCGGAGAAGGCAGGTTGTTATCTCTCTCTACTGATGGATTTGAAATTGTTTATGGGAGGAATAGCTGGTTTTATGTACAATGTTAATAGGCTTCTTAGGGCCAGACCACCTGTAGCCCTAAGACTAACCATCTTTATGAGTGGAGATTTCCTAGACGTCATTTCCAGATAACCATCGTCTCCCTCACGGTCAATTGGACTGAATCATTAACAAGTAAATTCCGACTTATACACTTCGCTCGCCGAGTACCTTCTCAATCCGCCTTAGCCCATCGAGTGCAAAAGCTGGTAAGACAAAATTTCTGCACACAATGCCCCACTCGGTCCGGCACTGGCCGGGTGGCATCCCCAGCTGCATCAAGCGACATCCGGTGGAGGATTTGTCAATCGAGGAGCTGAAGGAGGAAGTCAAAGGGTGGCTCTTATTTGTCAAGGTAAGTTTTGGGCTGATGTAATGCATGGCGAGACGTTAAACTAATGTTCTCAGGAAACATGGGTGGCCCGTCCAGACAGCATGGAAGACGACGACGAGTATGAATTAGATCAACGCCGGGCGCTGGTGGAACAATGGGCGTCTGCCAGCCAGGGGTTCCGCGATGTATCTTGCCCTGTTTTCGCTCGATGATGTGTCAAGGGGGCTAATGATGCCAGTCGTTCCACGCCCGGGCCAATTTCGAAGATCTCCGCTATCCAGCCGAAGCAATGGAGCGCATAGAGGAGACCATCCAGCAGTATAATCCCCAGGGGCTCATCTGTCTCGTACCAATTGATAAAGGTCGGCCTGTGGATTACGCGCGCTTCATTAAATTTGCGATCCTGCTCTACCGCTATGATCCTGAGACCGGACACTGTCTGGGAGATTCTTACATGCCAGAGGCTGCTGTATTGAACCCCGTTTCGGACATGACCAACAGATTTGAGGACTTCCTTCGCTGGTCTGATCTTGAGACGGCTGATTTCCGGTCGATATACTTGACCCGCTCGGGAAGTGTCGTCTACAATGGCTTTCTAGGACCGTATCTACTGCTTGATGAAGAAGGGCTAAGGACAGGCCGTCTTTCACTCGTGCAGTTCAAGCAAAATGGAGCTGTCGAAGATCTGGTGGAAATCCGCCCATTCAATATGTTTTGGCCGTACCTAGACCTCACCGTTCACATCAAAGGATTGGAGGAGATAAGGCATTGTGACGGAGGGCGTAGGCATCAAAATACACCGTGAGAGAACCCCATTCCTTTCCCCTTCTGGAGATGGTATACTAACTGAATATAGCATCAACATGGACCTACCCATCCTCGATATCGTGTGTCATGCATCGGAGGCGAACCAACTCCCCTCCGACATCTCCCTCTCCACCCGCGAGCAATGGGCCGAAGACATCGAGCTCTACGCACCGGGGTACCTAGCACTCGAAGAAGCCGGACGCGGAGCAGAGTACGACTTTTCTCGATTTTCAGTACCGCGCGATATTGCAGGCGTACAAAAGCGCGTTTGGGAGAAGTTGAAGGCAGGCGACGTACCGCGGTTTCAGTATCTGCCTAATGTCCCGCCAGAGCAGCGGCCGCCACAGCTTCAGCTGCAGACTCAAGCCCAGACGGGTCCTCGTCCAATGGACTTCCAGGGGATGCTTGCGGCATTGGCTCGTCAGCATGCTGATCGCCAGAGTGAGTAAGGTGGATGACGAGTCAACTACACGACGGCAACTACCTGCACGACTATCATGGATAATGCACTTTTATAACCCGGTCTCCTGCGAAATGCTTTTCAATTCCCTCTATTTGTCTACCAGAAGGGAAAGTGCGATGATCTATGTAACTGACTACCTTGGACCTGCATTCCGACCCAAACTCCTGAAGGCGTTGACTCCCTTGATCATCTTTCTCCTTCCTCTTTTTTCTCTTCCTCTTTTCTTCCGCTTGTTAACAAACTCCAAACCCCCACCATGGACGAAATCACCCTCCAAGCCTTCAACAAACAATCCGCTCTGCGGTCCTCACCACGCCCAAGAAATACACCAGCTACCACAGCATCTCTTTCCACTGGGATACAGAGCCTCCTAACGTTGACGTTGAAAAGTTCCAGCTTCTCCTCCAACACCTGCACCTCCCCCCAGCAACAGAGATAACCATCCCAAAGGACCACGTCGCACCGGGATTTATCATTTCCAAACCAATGTGCGATATAATAATTAGCATTGACGAAGCCCGGATGGAGTCCGGATTACCGGGGAACCCGCTTGTAATTATGCACTACGCCGGCCACGCCGTCAACTTGTCAAGAAACAGGACGACAGGCTCGTCTTCGTGGAGGATCCCTCGACCGTTGCGGACGAGGACGGCGATGCTATCAAGCCCCCGGCCCCAAGTATCGGTATCGACGTTGAGTCCTGGTTGCTGTCAAGCGCTGACCCGTCCCGTATCCCTTCAAACTCAACATCGACTTCCTGTTTCTCTTCGACTCCCCTGAATACGCTGAAATTGAGCCAACTGCCCGCGAGGCTGAGACGACGACGCGCATCGTCGAAGTCATTGCTGCCCCGTCCGTCAAAGGGACGTTGGTAGCGGAGTCTGCTCGCCGGATGCAAGCAGGTGGGAATCTCGAAGTCGTCGAGTTCGTAGACTTAATTAGACTTAATTAAGTCAGCGTGGCCGAGGCCAACGCATTTTCTGACTATGGGCACTGGCACGATCTGCCTGGATCCAATGGACCATGGGCCGCTTGTGGGCTTGATGCCGGCGCTGTCGTCTCCTGCTTCCGCTGGCTATCCTCGTGCGCTCTTCAGTGTTCACCTATCCGAGCTCATGAGCGACGACCAACGGAGTGATTTTGACAAGTGGCGGAACTTTCTAGGGAACATGGCCCTTGTGGGGATGTATACGAGCCTGAACGGCTCATCATGTTTTCTTCTACTATGTCCCTGGAATATGTGGACCAGGTTAGCTGGTATGAGGGGGTACAAACTGATTTTTGAGACTGATGGGACGGATTCTTTTGCTGGTAGTCATGGCCTTGGTCGAAAACGCAGACGAGAAGAGGACTCGGCGACGCCGCGTCTTGTTTTGCCAGAGTGATCCGAGTTATTTTGATAGTTACTTTCATCTTGGTGTCTTGGTTTGGTATCGCACAGCTTACTAGCAAGACAGCCAGGCTCCACTCGGTTAAAAGGACTAATACGTGTCCTAGGGATACAATATTTGGAGCTGCAGTCACTTCAATAATTTCTAACTCGAAGAACGCCGGCTGCCAAATGCCGAGTACGTTATATGAGTTCAAAATCCTGCCAAGTGGAAATTTCCTTAAGCCCCTCGTAGCCAGGAAGCCTCGCATCTACACGCCCTACTCGCCTATAGCAGGAGATGCTTGTATGGTCCCTGCTAAGCAAAATGCCACTCCTGCCCGAGCCACCAACAAGCAGCACCCAGTATGGCTGACCAGAGACTATCTCCCCCTCAGCGCTGTCAACATCAGGGAAGACACCGAAGTCCTCCTCCTTACAACCTGCAAGGGACGTGATCTTGAACCTATCCTGTGGACGCGGTCGATCTCCATTTTCAATAGATGATAACCTGACTTCCACAGGAGCCAAGTACCCCCTCACCTTAATCGACGCCTCTTTCAAAGCCCCATACGGATCCCCACCCAGCGGGACAAGGCACACATCCAGAATCTCCAAGTCAGAATGCGAATACACCTCCGGACTCGCCAATATAACCCTCCCGGTAACAGACGCCCACGACCACGTCGGAGCCTGGTACGCGCGAATCCTCGCACTAGACCGCGCCCTCTCAAAGCCATCATAGTCATACACCATCCACAACAGCGCCGCCGGAAAGTCACCACTCCACAAGCCAGCCCAATACGACGACGGCGTCTGGGACTGCATCGAGCGCGCGACACCAGAAATCGCAGTGAGCTTGTCGGACTGGTCGGTTAGGTCTCGGCTGCTGTAGTGGTCCACGACCATGGCCCACTTTCGGTTGAAGGGGGCCGTCTGGATTGCCATTTTGACGGGCGTCGCTGCGTTGTTATGTGGGCGCAGTTGACACTCACATCGCGACTCGGTCCTGCACTCGAAGGTGACTTCCTCGGCGGTGTAGTGCAGGATCCGAGGGGAGAGGATACTCTCCTGCAGCGTCCAGCCACGATATGACAAGGCGCTTTGCCTAGGCGCGTTCCAGACGTGGTGGGCGAATGTGTCGAAGCCGAGAGGCGCGCCCTTTCTGCGGATGAATACAGCGGACTCGGACGATTCTCCGTTCGAACCAGGGCACTCGAAGCGTTTGACACTCGAGTTCGATACCCGGTTCGGGTCGCGCAGGAAACCTTGCTGACTATCCGCCGCGCCGTCCGTGGCGATCGTGACCCACGAATCGCTGTAGTACTCGTACATCTTGGCGGACTGCGCGAGCCAATCTTCTTTCTCGTCTTGCATGATGCAGAGGGAGTCGATCCAGAGGTATTCGATGCCCAGGTTCTGGCATACCTCTATGGCATGCTGGAATGTAAGGGGCAAGGCGGTCGAGGGGATTTGCTCTACGAACTCGGGGAGTGTGCTCTTCCGCAGGCTTTGCGAGATTTTTCCGCCCCAGCAGTGGCTTAGCGTTGCGTATTTCCCGCGGGCCGCGGGGTTGTTTAGGTATAAGTATGGTCTTGGAAGGTCTTTGCCGACACACACTAGTCGATCTGGCATCACGGGGTCTGAGGCTGAGGATCTTGCGCATTCAGTATGGTTTTCCACGCAGTTGGTAATCCAGTCCATGGCCAACGCGATGCAGCGGTCTTGAGATGCATCTTGGTGCACATGACGAGCTGGTCCTATCAACGGCCACTTGGCCGGTTTGTCTAGGAAGGCATTAGTTAAACTTGGACATCCACGCAACGTTATGAATACCAACCTTCCAAGCAATAGACCTCAAGCTCAGCAACTTGAGAGTACTCAGTCTGCAGGACCAACGACAACGGGGCAGGCAGCCGTCTCTTTGATTCCGATGCCGAGTCAATAACCGCTTCCGATCGAATCGTAAAGCCAATGATTTCTTTTCCAGGAAGATGCGAGGGAACCACAAAATCCTGCGTCAACTCCATCACCGCCTGCAGCAGCATACGGCAGATGAAACAGCCCTTGCGCGCGGAGTCGTCCATCTTCCATAGTGGCATCCCGAGGAAGCCGGACCCTTCTTCGTCGCCTCTTATTCGGAGGTCCTGGCAGAGTTGGCATGATGCGTTGCTTGGGGGAGGCGGGAAGTATGTGCGGTTGGCGAGCATGGTGGATTGTTTCAACTGCCTTTTCAATCCAGCCTCGCTATATTACCCTTGAAGGAATGTAGAACTGGGTTGGCAGAGAAGATTTCTTGGTTGGGCTCAGCCTCAAGCCTGAGAATGAGGGGTTGCAGGCTCTACTTCGGATTGGCCAGTGTCTAATGCCCGGGGTCTGCATAGTGAACAACAGATAAGGATACAGGTTCCGTGCCACGGTCATCATAGGCCATGATTCTCGCGTTGAGAAACATATAAGAACGTTCGATCAAGCCAGTTTATCGAAAAAGTAATTTACAAACTACGGCATGGGCAAGCATATCCAATCAATCTAGGTGGCTGAGACAGGGCGCTTGACGACTGGACCAGCAACGCCGAAGTCCCATTGCCAACAAACCTTACCGCCTCACCTACAACATAAACACAGCCACTCCACAGCCTCACCAAGCACCAGTTCAACCTTTGGACTGGAACTGAACAGTGAAGTTGGAACCCCGGGCACTGCAAAGTGGGGCGAGTGGGTACAAAAGACGGGCCTCCCCGGGGCCCGCTCCCGCCAGTTTCCCGAGTCCCCACCGTTCACACGTTCCTCGAGATCACGGGTGCATCAGATCAACGTCTCACCCTCTTCCCTTTGCAGATAATCATCCAATTTACCTAAAGAACTCCTTGTGGCCTATTCCTCGTCGTCCACATACATCATCTCAAGATACTTCCCCACCTGCGCCCGCAAGCCTTCTTCTCTGACGTACGAAGAAACGATCTCCATTTTTCGAAGAGCACAACCGCTATCCCCAAGCCCCAATCGAAAGCAAAGCTTTGAGTGACAAGATGTCGGAGGCCTGGCAAGGTGTCATTGACGCGGATCTGAGGTACCTCGCGCAGCTGCGCTATCCAGACCTCTCAGCAAATGACGCGTACGTCGCATATTGTACCGACATCGTTGAGTCTGTAGCGGGTGCTGCGGGCCCTGTCTTTGATACCGCACTGGACTTGGCAGAGATCTTCTTTCTGATAAAGTGTCCTGAACTGCTCCGCTACACCCAAGTGGGCCGCCTAAGCAAGAAGGGGGTGGAAAAGCTCATCGACTATTTCCGGGGCCTTTCGGCAGATCCTCAGTCTACGCTTGGCAATCTTACGGCAGACAAGAAAGAGATCTCTACTCAGCTTGCCTCCAACATTGTTAAGCAACTTGAGTCCAGTGCACTGGGCCAGGCAACCGCGGTCACCAATGGCGTTGGCACAGCGGCTGCGGGTGCCAGCCTTTCCGGCGAAAGCGGGACGAATATTCAGGAAGTCGTCGCGGACAATACCAGTGCTCAAGCTACGTCGGCAGCTTCTGCCAGCTCTGGCCCTGCGGAGTCATTCCTCGATCGCATCAACTACCTGGAATGCTGGAACACAGCGTTGCGAACGATCCAGACTGCCCAGGCGCAGCAGATCATCAGGGCCCTAAATGTCATCGCCGACCATCTCGGCGACAGGAACTGCATCGCTGTGATGGGCGCTGGAGGTCCCGATGGCTTCGCCCGGCCGATCTACGACCTGATCAAAATGAAGATCAACAAGATTGACGCGGCGGACCGCAAGAATCATCGCTTCTTCATCTACCATGACTCAAACAATTGGCACCCAGCATTCGAAAGGTTGACACGCGAGAACACATTGCCGTCGCAATTTGTCAATAACCCTTGCGATGACCTCGACCATGTTTGTCTGTTCATGCGTGAAGTCAGACAAAAACTTATCGCGAAGGACGAAAAACTTGGAAAGGCCATTACTTTCCACCTACTCATCCCCTCGTGGTCTAAACTCCAGATCAAGGAGCCGCTTCATTTTCCAGAGGACCTCTACCCATTGCAGATTGAGGGGCTGAAGCACGGAGGTCAGGACCAAGTCGAGCTGAATCTCCCAAGAGCACCCGTTGGGCTTCTCCACGGGGTGTCGAATGTTCTTGATCCCAACCACTGGAACACAATAGCAGGGGGCACCAGTGCCGCGGTAACAGTTCAAACTGTAGGCTGGGGAATAAACGGCGCATGCCTTGCTGTGGGTATCGGTCTGGGCACTCTTACAGGCGCTGGCATGCTCCTTGCTGCTCCAGTATGGGTGGGGAGCGCAGCGCTTGCTATGCCCGCATCAGCTCCGGTCATAGAAGAAACCATTTACGATGCGCTACGTGAAGAGGACCCGAGGGTGCTGGGGTCTAAGGAACGCCTGCCAAGGCGTCGTTGAACGGGATGTCGTAGTTCACTTTCACTAATGTCATGACTTCTTTTATCCTGTTAATAGTTCTCTGCAGAATTTGTTCAGGCTGAATCTCATTTGACTTGCGAGATACTCGATAGATTGGATACCTTGGAATCAGACAGCCTCATTCTCTCCTCAACGCTCCATGGTCGACATGGATCAAACCAACTTGAAGTATGATAGGTCTCCGTGCCTTTTTACATGATCATGATTTAATGACCAGATCCTCTTCGTAACTAACACTACCGTAGCTTTTTCCCCCAACACTCGACAGAAACAAGACGGTTGACCATGAGGTTACCAAGAGAACCGAGTAAACATATACACCGTATTTCAATAGTACTTGGTATTCGGAGGGAGACCCTCCTCTTGCTCCTCTTTCTGAAAGTCAACCCAGTTAGTATCTAAGGCGCACCAAAACACAGCAAAGAGGACAGACATACCAGTGCCTCGCCAAACTGTTCGACAAGCTGTATTTTATGATTACAGAACCGTAAATTCTTCTCCCCAAGCTCCGTAAACGTCGTCGAAACATCAAAGTCAATCCACACCATCCTATTCGACTTAGACTCTGTCTCGTCCCGAACAAGCAGTATGTTCTTAGGATAAACGTCCTTATGAATAACACCAGCCTTTTGAATCTCCTTCATGCCTTCCATGGCCTGGGGGTACAACGCATCATCAAAATCGACACAGTTGAGACTCTCGGCGTTGGGAAGATACTCCAGCAGAATAGCGCTGGAATGAAACTTATCACAAATAAAATGGTTCAGCGCGGGCTTGAATAAGGCCGGGTCGATGCATTTAATAACGCCGTAGAAACGGGGGACGAAGCCGCGTTCGCAGACCCCGGCTGCGGAGAGGTTCTTGTATGCGTTTACCTCGCAGCGGAAGCGGTTAAGGTCCCGGCCTTTTTTACTATAGCCCGGGTCTCCGTTGTCATGGTACTGGTTGCATTGGTATAGATCAAGGGCAAAGCGGGTGATTTTCACTTACGACCTTCGTTGCGTACTTTTTCCCATTAATATCCACCTCGAAGATTGTGGAAGCATCAGTGTCCAGATCTGTCTGTTGATGCGAATCTTTGACAGATCGACGTCTAGCAGACCATTACTCGATGGATTGATTGATGACATTGTGTTAGAATTCTTGTTCCATGAAGATGTTGGACTGAGGTTGTGGGTAGACTATGACAGCCGCATAGATGTATACAACTTGTTCACTATGCTCATTCCCCCATACTCTCGAATACTCCAGTCTGGGTAATTACTATTTGAATTTGATTAGGTCTCAACCGCCTTCTTTTATTCTTCAGCTTCCAATCTGTTTAGCCATTCCAACATCCCGCAGTCACGTCACACCACCTACAGTCAACAGCTCCTTCCTAACAAGGCAACCTTCAAAAGGTGCCCATTGATTGCCTGTCCTTGCTACAGCTAACTGATTTCACCCAATGAAGACCAAAACATACAACGTGGACGTTCCTGAGAGCACTAGTCACAGAAGCTTGATGTTTTCTATCCTACGTAGAAAATAACATTAACAAGCATTTTAAATATATGTCACGTAAATGTGGAGCTTTGACTCCTGCCTCTAACTTTTGAAGAACCTCTCGCTCCTTTCTCATTCTCTTTTCTATTATTGGATAACAACATTTCTAGTCGGTACGGTAATCGTGGACCACATGATATATATAATAGACCAAAAACTACAGATCATCACTCAGCATCTGACGTGAAGACACAGCGCCTACGGCTTTATTTGTGTAAGGATGATCTCCGCCAAGCTGAAATTGCCCAGAACCTCAAGCACTACTGCCTACACCAAGCCCTGCTTTCTGCTCTTGTTTGTATGTGAGCTACATCATCCGATTGGTGTTCGGATACTTTTCCGATGTTGTGCTCGGGGTAAAGCTCGCCCGAGCATGATCGGAGCAAGGCCGAGCGCCCGAGGCCGTTTATTAGTGAGCGACTGCGGGGAACCACCACACCCCGCCATCCCAACACCTGTCCTCGCTCACCTTCACCAACATCCCCTCTCTTGCAGTCGCTTGTACATCCAAATCTCTCCCTTCCTTGACTGGATCAATCGGATATGGCCCTCAACACAGCCCTCAGCACCGCCCTGCAAAAGGGCACGACGGCCTACGGGTTCTGGCTTACGTATGTCATTGCCATCGATCCATTCACGAGCCGTGAGAAGACTCGATTCCAACACGAGATATTGATAGTGGTACAGACTCCCCGGCGCCGGCGTCGCAAAGACAATCCTCCGCTCGACAGCACAGCACGCAAACAGATTCAGCTGGGTCCTCGTCGATGCCGAGCATGGGCTGATTTCGGATAAGGATTATTATGAGGTACCGCCCTCAAGAACTCGAGTACTAGTATTTGGGGCAATTGATGGCTAATGGATATGTAGCTCACAAACGCCGTCGCCTCCGAAGGCGCAAGCCCGATCGTCCGCGTTCCCTGGGGCGAGGAATGGCTGATCAAGCGTGCCCTCGACGCTGGAGCCCACGGGATCCTCACGCCAATGTGTCACTCGCCTGTACATTTACCAAAATACCCCCAAAGTTCAATTGATATGAGTCGCTGATACATTGACGTGCAGGAGGACGCCGCCAAAGTCGTCAGCTACTGCAAGTACCCGCCACAAGGAACGCGCGGGTACGGGCCGATGTTCGCTTTGCACTCGTTTCCCGAGGTTTCGGGGGCGGAGTACGATGCGGGCGCGGATAAGAACACGGCTGTGTTTGTGCAGATTGAGTCGAAGGGCGGGCTGGCGAGTGTGGAGGAGATTGCGGCGGTGGAGGGGTTGGATGGGGTTCTTATTGGTGAGTTGCCAGCAATTGCTAAGGAAGGGAGCGTCGGGTTATCTAACGATGAGTGCAGGTCCGTTCGATCTCGCGAAGCAAATTGGTGTTCAGCGCGGTGGGGAGGAACATGAGGCTGCTATTCAGCGGATCTTGAAGGCGGCCAAGGGTGCTGGGAAGACGGCGGCGATTTTCTGTATGTCTCTGACCGGTTTCGCTGATATATATCTGACGATGACATCATAGGCTCGGACGGCAACGACGCACAGAAGCGCATCCAACAAGGCTTTGACATGGTCTCCATCACTACCGACGTCGGTGTCCTGGGCAGTGGGATGCTGCGCGAGCTGGGAGTGGCGAGTGGACAGATTGAGGGAGGAAAGTCTCGCGATGGATACTGAGCTCGGTCGGGGGGATGGAAATGAATTGGAGAGTGGGATACACTGGCAATGATCACTGTCTTATAAGACATATTAAGTACGTCCCATCAACGAATAGCAGCCGGGCTAGCTCAATCGGCAGAGCGTGAGACTCTTAATCTCAAGGTTGGGGGTTCGACCCCCCCGTTCGGCTTCTCTTTTTGTCCCAAAACTTTTTTTCTACACCTTCTAGATGCTGTGGATCTTTTTGCCCTAACATAGAATGGAATTTGAACGCGTTGGTTGGGGTGGGTTGAATCTGCACTGACTGACTACGGTACCGGTCGGCCTTCTGCTCCTCAGGCTGCCTCTTTTCCCGAACATCAGCACACAATTAGGCATCGTATTCTGGCCCTTCAGTGACCTAGGCCAGACATGTCAATGGCAGAATTCTGCGAGGAGCTCAGAGCGACCAGTCCAGTATTCGCTGCATGACAGAAAAGAGGCACGAGCTCTTGTACAGGGGTGGTCGAACCCTGGCCCAGCCAGCACTACACACGCCTCGGTAGACAACGAATCATCCAGAATGACATCGAGATACATCTGGAAATATAGATCGGCTGCGACGGTCCAGATCTTGTCACCGCTACTCCATGGGATTCCTGGTCTGGACTCTGGGGCAGGGCAGGCTCGTGCCGCGCCGACGATGCCCAGCCATGCAGAGCCTCGCAAAACAAAAACAAATCATCGTCGACGCGGCCAGGCCCCAGAGTCTAGATCCAGATCTGTGTCTAGACCTGGAAGGCTGGAGCTGGACCTGGCCCAGGCCTCCATCGACCTTTTCCACGTGGGAGTGGACCTGATTCATGTTACCGAGATGAACGTCCTGCAGGCCATTTTACACCCTGGTCCCCGGCCCCTAGAACCCTGTTAATTCCAAAAACTAGGGCTCTCAATCTATACGAAGTGGCTGTGCAACATTCGGAAGGCCTGTCAGCTGGACGCTAATAATTTTAATCAATCTGACACCGTCACTTCCTTGACGCCTCATGTGTCCAAATAGTCCACTCACATCTGCTCAGGCCCAGGTAGCCCTGCTCGAGCGGTTGGACAATCTCAGGGCTATGCCTGCATGAACTAGAAGGCTCACCCCAGAGCTCTTCGCCCTGCATGGAATTGTTCTTACATTGTTGCCTAACAATCCCACAGACCCCTGTCATGCCCGGGCTCGAACGGCCCAGACCTCAGTCCGGTATCAGCATTTAGTTTGTACATTGGAAGCACTCACCGGGTCACTGTCAAGCAAAAGCAATTACCGGCGCTCAGACCATTGCCTACCTCCCCATCATTGCTGGCTTGATGATCTGGAATCTCCGATACGTTGTCTTAAAATGCGCCGTCAAGTACATCCCGCTGTTTTCGGCGATGCTCGTCTTCGCTGTCACTTCTACTTCCTTATCTTTCTTTGCTTAAAGACTTCTACAGAGCTACTTGACCTTCTTCAACAGCCAGCATACCTTGCAACCAGTTCCCGCTTGGAAGTCCCTTGTCCCTGTAAACGACAAACATCCAGCCAGCGTTGAGGGGGTACCAATAGGCCGGGCTGGCTATAGGGCGCTATGTCCTGGTCCATCGACGAAGCAGTCTCATTCATCACGATGATCTTCACCATTCCGACCTTCATCCTCGCTCTATGGGGCATCCTGCGGTACTACCGACGTGCAAGAAGCAACAGACCTGGTAGGTTCGACCGCAAAATTCTCTAAACCTCTGTCGCTAACAAGCGGATGTTGCTCCCGATCAAGGTCACCTCCTCCGCGTCAACAGTCCTCCATCTTCACCTCCATATACGCACTCGTCGCCGATCGACGGCTTTCCTGACCTTGAAACCGGATGGGTCCAGTTCAACCAGATAACTACCAGTAGTAAGTGCACGGCGCCGGACTCCTCGCGGTAGCATGCTAACCGGACAGCAATATCTCGCGCAGGTTCTTTCCGGGTCGACCAGCGGTTACGGCGTGACGGGTGACATGGACGGTATGGACGGGAATATTGCTGGGAAAACAAGGTTATAAATAGGGCTCAAGCGAGAATCTCACACACAGTCTATACAGCGGATGAAAGCCCCGACTCCTTAATAAATTACACTGATCTTCCGGACAGTAGACATCCTCTCCATCCCATCATCACTTATTTATTGTCAGTACCTCCCGCAAAAACATGTCCCGAAAACGCAAGCGCACCGGCCACGGCTGGACAATCAGAAAAAAGAAAACAGTCATCCCTCCAGAACCACCCCTCCCTCCATCCCCCCCGGAACCCACCACACGCAGCACCCACCCGCACCCCCAAGCCCAATCCCTCTTCTTCCGACTCCCCGCCGAACTCCGAGACCAGATCTACACCGACATCTTCACCTGGCCCGAGCGCACCCACATCGCCTGGGTCGGCGGCCGCGGCCGCGGCCGCAAATTCCGCAGCTTCCTCTGCAAGGTGCCGGAAGCGAAGCAGCTGGAGCGGACAGCGCGCGGGGAACTGTGCAAGTGGTGCACAATCGACCATTTCAAGTGCTCGACGCGCAAGAAGTATTCTGGCGAGGTCAAGGTGGCGCCGCTGCCCGATGAGAAGGCGGGCGTGAGGGTGGGCGCGATGCTGAGGTGTTGTCGACGCGTGTGAGTACCGCCCTGTTGTCTTTGATTATGGTGGTATGGTGGAAGTGACCGGGCCCCGGGGCGGATACCATAGGTATAACGAAACGATCCACACGCTGTACAGCAGAAACACCTTCTACGTCGAGAACCCGCGCACCCTCCTCGAGATGTCGACGCGCATGCCGCAGCCGCATCTGCGCCTTATTCCGTCGCTGACGCTGGAGTCGCCCAGGTTCCATCGGGATTACTTCGATTGGGACGACGAGAGAAACATGGCGCGGTGGAAGGCGGTTGTTGATGCGCTGGGGAAGTTCGAAGGGCTGGTCGAGCTGTGCATTATCGTGCGGCGGCGCTACGAGTATGCCCACCTGCTCGACTTGATTTTGAAGCCCGTTAGGGCGGCGGAGGATGCGGGGGCTTTTGCGGTGGCCCCGCGGCTTATTCTCAAGGGGACTGATCTGTATGGGTTTGGGGAGTTGTGTTCGAGGCATGTGGATTTGGAATATCCTTGGGAGGTGATCTGATCTCGTACCTGTGGTAGGGAGTTTGGGCTACGGGCAGAGTTCGGCTTACTCGGGGTTTACTGCACCCGGCTTGGTCCCAAGTGTCGTTGATAAGCGTTGACAGTATTGGGGTTTTAGATTGGAGGTGTGACCTGACGTTGACATCTGGATAACTTGGAATCTTTATAAGAAATGGCTATTACTTGACAGGCTTGGTCTAGATTGATGAGGAAGAGACGCCAACGCAGCACAGTTACACCAATGGACTTTTCTTTTCAATGGGTATCATCATCGTAGCTCTCTCTATAAGTCAATAGCCCTTCCTCTAGAGCTAGGTCCGTGCTCTCAATGTGCGACCAGGTCCGACTTAGGGTTATCGTTATAGCTGTCCGAATAAGGCGATTCGATGTGGATCTAGGAAAAAACGGTAGGCGCAGTTAGAACAACGAAACTGTAAAGATACTGCATGCAGCTACAGTAGGGGACAGGCTCGCTGGAATATCTTAGAGCATTCGAGGTCCAGCGCGTGTGCCGTCTGCGTCCAACGTATGTCCAAACGAGGAGGATTGACGGAGGGCCGGTGACTAGAGCATGACCACCGCCATAGTGGCTTCGCTCGACCAGGCCATGGTTTGTTGAGGTGCAAGCACTCATGGAGGAAAAATCCAAGAAGATTCAGATAGTTTTCCGCTTCGGAGAGACATAGGGGAGTTGAGATGCTTTTCTAGGTATAAGCGCCTGCAAAGCCAAATGCTAAGCCTCACTACAGTGTACAGGCCCAACAATTGAATCTGCATAGTTTTGATGCCATAGCCAACCAGGGTCAGACTGAGTTTCCAAAAGGGTTTAGGTGATAAAAGGTGTAAAGTCTCTGTTGCCCGGACAGGAGTGCCCAACTTCCGAAAGTGAGTGAAGCCGCATCGGCAATTGTTGTCTCAAATGAATCTAGACTTTTACTCTTCTGCAACGGCTGATTCTTGTTGCTCATGAGCTTATCGTATGCTGCTCTTGACATATTTCAGAACGAGGGGACGTCCCTGCCCAAGCGAGACAGTAGTCTGTGGTTTTGGCTGATGCTTCCGTGGAATGGCCAAGGCGAGGAGTAGGCAAGAAAGAGTGGGCATTAAACAAAGACACAACACTTCGATATGATAACCGGCTGATAGATTCTCTGCTTTATTCCCATCATCTCCCAAGCCTTTGGCACTAAGGCTCGTGGTGATTAAATCACCTTCCGCCCCCATATCTCCTGTACTCATTTGCAGCCTTGCCCATATAAATAGAGAAAGAGATATCGTTAGCCTTCAGGAGATTCTGGCTTGTCCGAAAGCTTTCTTCTAGCCGCCCGACCTCCAACGCCTTGATTCTAACTTCATACTCCTTCGCGCGTCGTTCCCAGAGCAAAGCCATCGCCACCGGTATTTGTCTTCCTCCCACGGCGGCGTTTGACCTCGAGATAATGCCATTCAATTCCTGCTTCAGACGATCCAAGTCCGCTGTGGCACTGCGTAGATGCTCTTCAATAGCTCGATGCAGTTTTTCGGTCTGCTCGCGACACTTATTCCTTGCAAACCATACTGTAGCAAGATCGGTTACGATTCTTTGGCGCTCCCTTTTTTGCGCTGCTTCGATTTTGATCGTGGCATAAGATTTATCATAGAGGCGGCGCTTGTGAGGGTCCGAGAGGACTTCGTAGGCTTCACCAACCTGGTCATGGTTGCATTAATTGGAATCGAACAGAAACCTTGGAAGAGAGGGCGCTTACCAGCTGGAACTCAGCAGTCGCGTTTGGTGACTTGTTTTTGTCTGGGTGCTTGGCCAATGCAACCTTTCTGTAGGCCAGTTTTATAGTGGATGCATTTGCAGTGTCCGAGATGCCCAGGACAGCATAGTAATCGTGTTGCACTGGAGATGCCGCCATTGTATCTGATATATGGGGGAATTCGGGTTGTTTGCGCAGATGTCCTCCTCGCGGGGAGGGGCGGTGGGTGGAGCTAGGCTATATTGGGCTTAGTGCAGTATTGGTCAGGTACCACTGGCTAGTTCCCGTTGCTAAGCAACATAGGGCTGGTGACTTATATTGACCTGTCATGTGATGCCTTCACACTAATGGAGGTAATAGGCGGCAGATTAGCACAGCTTTGTATCAGCAAGGTTAATAGTCAGGATAAAACACTGAGATCAATCTGCCAAGACTGGAGAAGAGCGCTGTCATAGCTTGCTGCTTATGGACTGTAATTGAGATTCCTGCAGGCTCTGCCACTTGCTTCACTAATCACTGTTATCCGTGCTTGGTCTCCAAGCATCTAAGTAGCGACTCTGACCATGGTCCTCTTAATCAATCAACTTGGCTCGGTAATCTTGGTGATGGTCTTTTGCCGTACCACCGACGATATATACCCTGCAATATGCATCAAAATATACTCTCCAGCTTTGCAAGGGAGTGCAGACGGCTCTGTGGCTTGGTTATATATAGTTCCAACTCGCCATATATCAGCAAGAGCTCATGCAGGAGGAGAGGAGGCATAGTTTGGGCAATTATGTGTCCCGGCCTCAACTCTCGAACGGAGCCGTTGCTTTTTTTTTTGCTTTTTCCTTTTTGCTTTTCTTTTTTCTTTTCTTTTTTTTTTTTTTTCTTGCCGGGATTCAAGAAACGCGAAGCGATATGGTATTCGAACTTGTGCAATGCAGACCGGGCTTGCAAGTCCGTACCAACCAGTGCTGGACAGTCGGAAGCAATGTCCGCGCTGGGATGGCTGGGTGACTCACGGTCGCTCGCCTGAAGGAATGTCAGTCGAATGCTGGGAGATAATCAGAACGCGGGAAGCAAGACGGTTTTTTTTTGGTGGGAGTTTTTATTTTTCGGTGTTTTTTTGGTCTTTTCGTTGGCAAGAGGAATGGACTGAGTGACGAAGTCTCAGCAAAGGGAAGGGCGCGAAAGACTTCACTGATCCCCAGCCCTCTTAAAGCCGGAGACTCCCCCGTTAGCAACCCACTGTTGATTCAGCTCCTCAATCTTAACCTGGAAGGTGGAAAGGCGGCGTTTCCTCGAGAGCGTGCGCTTAGCAATACTCCGCTCGAGGCCTTCGACCTCCGCACGCTTAGCGTTAACATGGTATTTCATCTCGTCGTTTCCGTAGCCGCCGTTAGCAAAGCACTCGGACCATGTTTGCTGTGCGTTGGCAGGGTCGCTGTGGAAGTGAGATCTAGAGAGACAGGCAGCGCGCTGTGCGGCTAGCCGCTCGATCTCGGCCTTCAGCGCAGCGAGGTATGGTTTTTCGCGCTGGAGACGGCTGACCAATGCGGTTTGGCGCTGCTTCTCGCGGTTATCGTGCTTGAGGAAGCTCTTGCGGAGCTCGAGTACTTCGGTTTCGATGCGCGAGAACTCGGCTTCTTGTTTTTGCGCTTGCTCTTGCTCTTGTTCTTGTGACAGGACGGGGTCAGGGGAAAGGTCAGTGAAAAGGTCAGTGAAAAACCCTTGCTCCTGCTCCTGCTCCTGCTCCGGTGGCTCAAAAAAAGGGTCAGTCCATTGGAACTCTTGCTCCCATGCGCCAGGAGCAGGGTCAGTGTGAGCAGAGGACGAAGCAGCGTTAGTTTGTTTGATAAATGGGTAGATTGCAGCGTCATAGTGCGCGCGCCTCGTCTCGTCCATGAGCGTTTCGTAGGCTTCGCCTACGCGCTGGAACTCGGACGTTGCGTCCGGAGACGGGTTTTTGTCAGGGTGCTTGGCTAGAGCCGCGGTTCTGAAGGCCGCTTTGATGCAGGATGCATCGGCAGTCGGGGGGATGCCCAGGACTGCGTAGTAGTCAACGATCACTTGGTTTTGAGCCATGTTTGTGATGGGTCAGGGTAGTGATGGGTTGATGAGGAGGAAAGAGGGGGATGGGGGGATTCTTGGTTAAAATGATTGCCTGACATCAGGTGATTGAAGCTTAAAGGAATCCGGGGTGTAAACCCGTCCAGATGTTCTAGGTTATGGCGTCAATGATTGCGCCTCTTTACGGAGGATGAAGCCGGCGGAGGGGGGTTCCGGCGAGGTGGGTGACTCCCGAGATATCACCAAATAATGAAGCGGAAGTGAAAAGGTAATGAGGTCTGAAGTAATTGTGCCTATGTAGGGAAGTAGTTCAAGCGTCTATATGGCTGGTATACTTAGTCCAGCTGGCCATGGACGAGAGTGAGTTTAATGATAGGTTTCGATCTCTCACCCACTTGGACCAACAAACATCGGTATCAATAAACAGACATGAAAAAGCGGGACTTGAGCCCATCATTCATAGTCCCTTTGCTCAGCTGAAGTGAAGATCTCGATCACATCATGCCTCCTCCTCGCTACGTCCACGCCCACCCCCTCACCCTCTCAAACTCAAAGACCACCCCACTCTGCAACCTCCTCATCTGAGAAATAGTCTTCTCCCTCATAGCTCTTGTAACAAAAACCCTCTGCTCCAGCGCCCGAATCTCAAGTAACAGATCCTGAAACTCCCCGTTTTTCTCACCTAACCGCTCATCAAGCGCGGCAATCTCCACACCCCGCCTCTTCTGCCGCCGCGCAATATCCCCCCTGTGTCGTAGCAGAGATGCAGTGAAAGTGACCACCCACCGCTCGTCCGCGGCTTTCTCGCGAGTGATCCGCTCTTGCTCCTCGAGTATCTTTGTGAGCTCTTCATGCGTTCGGACTAGTTTCTCCCTGGCCTCATCTAGTGTTCTCTGGGCGCTGAGCTGCTGGTTGTGGGCGCGCTGCTCGGTGGCTTTCAAACTGGCTATCTCTTTCTTTATCCAGGTCTCTATGGGTGGTTGCTCCGATGAGGCAGGAGTAGGGGGTGCGTAAGCGGGGGTGGGAGTGGGAGGGCGGGCGTAAGCAGAGGCAGAGGTATGTTGACTGCATATGCTGGAATCGTATGTTCGGCGCTTCGTCTCATCGACCAGTGTCTCGTAGGCCTCGGATATCTAGACATGCTAAAGTGTTAGTTTGATAAGTCATTGAAAGCAAAGACAAGGTGAAAAAGAGGCCGGTGTCGAGGCTTACCAGCTGAAACTCCGCAGTCGCATTAGCATCCTTGTTTCGGTCGGGGTGCTTGGTGAGCGCTAGCTTCCTATATGCTGCTTTAATAGTGCCAGAGTCTGCGGTTGGCTGGACTCCGAGGACTGCGTAGTAGTCGCGATGAGGCCGTAGGGGCATTGTGCCTGCCAGCCTGGGGTTGTTGACTTTGTTCTAGATTGAGAGATCGACTGAATGGCGGGCGGGGCGGCTGGAACGGGGCCGCGGTCGGGAAGAGCCGCATGGTGGGGAAGGGATCCACACTTCATGTGACTCGATGTGGCTGTGCATGAGCCTCGAGGTACAAAGTACAAACTGTGCCAAGTTGTCGCACATGGCAGAGGAGACATCCATGGATAGATGGATCAGTCTATTGGTCAGAATGGATCAATATACTCCGTACTCCAAGGGGATTGATTTCTTGGCAAGCGTCTATGATCCGTGTGACTAAAACTGCAGGAGATACATTGGACATGAAGGCCCTGTCTAGTGCTACCAAGGATTGAAATTATGGATTCCCATGACCGCTCGAAAAATTCAAGATAACTATAATCTGGTCGAAAGATCTTGACATATGCATGTGGATGTAGAATCCATACCGATAACCTTGGAATATTATCTGGGTTACAATATTCGACCAAGCAACTATTGCTACTTCCAAAAGTAGGCCACGTTCTTAACCCGAATTCTTCTCCTTCTCCTTCTCTTTCTCCTTCTCCTTCTCCTTCTCCTTCTCCTTCCCCTTCTCCTCCCCCTTCCCCTTCCCCTTCCCCTTCCCAACCCCCCTCCAAACGGCCCTCCACCCCTCCTTCCTCACCTTCTCCGCCCACTCACGCTCAACCCCCTCAATCTCCCTTCTAGCATCATCCAACTCGTCTCCAAGCCCCTCAACTTCCCTGCCCAGATCCCAAGACCTCAGCCACGCATCGTGACTCTCTCTCTCCTTCCTCCGCCGCAACTTAACCAGCTCACCCAGCTGCGCCTCCCACTCCTCCCGCTGAACCCTAAGCTCCTCTCTTCCTTTTTTGCCTAGTAGATACTTCGCCGCGAATTTCGCGACCCTCGTCTCATCAGCTTCGAGGTTCCCAACGACGTGAAATATATCCGTGAATAAATGTCGGAGCTCCGAGTCCAGTTTCTCGATCCGTTGCTCCGCGGCGTCGCGCTCTGTTTGGGCTTCGGTGCGGCGCTTGCGGAGGGTCTCTTGCTCTGCTGTTAGAGTTGCGAGAAGCTCGTCTTTCTCGGCTTCGGTTGTTGGCGGTGTTCGTCTTTGCGGTTTTGGCTTTGGGCGCGGCGGTGGGGCCCGGTATGAGTGGGAGGTGTTTTCTTGCGCGGAATGCGCATGGCCGCTGTGAGCCCCGGTATTGTTTTTGGTATCCTTGGTGGTGGTGGTGCTCGCGCTATTGCTCAGATCATAATCGTAGTGCTGGCGCTTATGCCTGTCGATTAGGGTCTCGTATGCTTCGGAGATCTACGGTAAGCAAGGCGCGTAAGCCAAACGATCGGCAATTGAGTGAGATAAGGTAAGGCGCATTACTAGCTGGAACTCGGCGGTCGCATTGGGGCTCTTGTTCCGATCGGGGTGGTTCGTGAGCGCTAAAGCTCTATATGCCGCTTTGATAGTGGTGGCGTCTGCGGTTTTTTCGACGCCCAGGATATCGTAGTAAGTGCGGCCGTGTTCAGTTGGAGGCATTGGTTATTGTATATTATTGGCAGGAATGAGAAAGGCTGTGGAATGTGCGGAGGGGTCTTGGTGTTTATATAGACGTGATCCTGCGCCCCGCGCTAAGTTAGCGTCTTGGATGGATAAACTTTAACCTCACCATAAGAAATGGCGTATATTGAGTAAACTAGGGGCCTTGGTCTATATATTTGCGATTTCATATTGCCCAATCAGACACCCCGGGTCCCCATTCTTCCCGGGGCCGTTCAGAGAACTTGCGCCACCAAAAGTTGTTCAGCATCCTCTCGATTCTATACAATGTCGACCCGGGAAGCGGTGGGTCCTCGTCCTCGATAAAAGAAAGCGCACGGAGGATCTGGGGCCCCAAAACACTAAAGGGGATATTCCCCTTGCGGTCAATGGCATCGATGAGGTCAACCAAAAGAGCGAGGTTTCCTCCGCGGACCACAGCTTGCAGTAGCGGGCAATCCTCGTCCTCCGATTCATAGCATGGATCTGCGCCACGGTCGAGCAGAACCCTCGTTGCGTGGATCGGGTCCATTCTGGAGTTTTGCACAACGGATAAGAGGGGTGTTCGATCGAAGGGGCCGCGGCTCTCCATGTCGACGCCCTGCTGGAGGAGCCAGTCGACCGTTGCCCCGGCAGCGTGGTAGTCTTCGACGCATGCTGCGTTCTCGAAAAGACGGTATCCATTGCAGTGTATGCGAGCGTCGAAGCCGATTTCCTTCAGGCATTCGAAGAGCGCAACGTTACCCTCGAGAGCAGCTGCTTGCAGGTAGAAGCTATCATCATAATCTGAGCCCTTGCCGACGGGTACAGGGCGATGGCCATGAGCAAATACAGTGCGGACAATGGCCTCGTTGCTTTTTGCAAGAACTATAGGAAACGATTTGGTGGTTGAACACTCTGAATCAAGCCGGGAACCACGGAGCTTGAAGTCGAGGCCCGCGTCTATCAGGATCTGGAGCTTTGCTGGATCCCCGGCAAGCATAACGGCCTCCAGATCTAGTTCATGCGGATCTGCCTCGTGATCTAGGAGAAGCTTGAAGATGGCATCATGCGGGATAGCATCGTTCAGTATGTAATGCACTTCGGAGATGTAGAGGCTGGCATTATGTTCTAACAAGACTCGTACCACGTCCTCGTGGCCCTGCTCCACGGCATGTCGCAGGGGACTGATCAAGGGGTGATCGTAATCATGATTGTCGCGGTTTGGGTTTGCTCCGTGGGATAAGAGCAGACGGACAATATCCACATGACCGTTTTTGGCAGCGTACAGCAATGGGGTAACAAAATGGGTTTCCTCCTCAGTTTGCCGTGTCACTGAATAAGAGTTGGCATCCCAGCCCCGATTAATTAACTCGGTGATGATTGGAGTCAAGCCAGTTCCAGCAGCAAGAAGCGCAAGCTGTTCTGGTTCGAGTTCACTATCCGGCATAGCCTGCAAATGCCTTAGCAAAAGCTTAACAGTGCTAGCATGATTCATGTATGCAGCATGTACAAGCAGATTGTAGCGCACGCTGGCACCATGATCAAGCAAACACTGGATGATATCAATGCGGCCCTCCTGCACTGCAGCAGAAATGGGCAGGATACCATTTGGACCCTTGTCGAGATCTGCCCCTCTCTGAAGCAAGAATTTCACGGTATCGATATGTCCGCGAGAAGCAGCAAAATACAGCGCGGTAAGCCCATGATTATCTGTAGCATTAACGTCAGCGCCGGCATCGACAAGGACCCTCACGACCTCATGACGTCTCCAATAGACGGCTTGTATCAAAGCGGGAGGCTCGTCATCGCTTCCCGGGGGTGTTTCTATTTTCGCTCCTGACTCCAGGAGCAGACGGACGGTGGATTGATGGCCGGAATTGGCTGCATTCGCCAATAGCGTGCTGCTGATGCTGTAGGGATCTGCGAGGTTGCCTCGGTAGTGCATCGGAGCATTGAGGTCCACCCCGCGCTCTATGAAAAGCTTCAAAAGATGATCGTGGCCGTTGCAAGCAGCTGAAGCCGCGTCATATACAGTGGGGGTTGCGCCGGCTTTCAAGGCTTTTTGGACAACCGGCTCCTGGCCGTGCGTCGATGCCCATCTAAGGGCCAACCTGCTTCCGGACACCACGTCATGCCGATAAAGAAAAGGATTCAAGAGGTGGTAGAAGCGACAAGAGACGCGTGAAAAATTGTTGATCTGATTTTCGTACTCGAGAAACTCGGCAATCATGAGGATCAACTCGGCAGGAAGGCTCGAGAGGGGCGACGCGTCCGTCGAAGACGCGATCAGACCGGGCATCGTGAAGCAGGGTTGAATATGGACCAACAAGGAGACCGGGGGCTCCTTAAATGCTTTGGGTCAAGGTGAACCAGTACATCGAAGTCCGGACTGCACGACTTAAGGAGGTGGTTGTAGAAGGAGAGCCGGACCGGACCTCGAAGAAACGCGAGAAATGGATAAAACACAAGAATGGGACGTGTGGATAATGACAACATCACACAGCCAATTAGATCAGTCTCAAACAGTGACAGAAGGGAAAAAACTATGGATCCCAGATCAAGCTGCTTGGGTCCGCGCTGATTGGCCGTGGAAGGCCATACGGAACAGATTCGTCAGGACAAATAGTTACAAGGCGTATCATGGGACAGGGTCTGAAGGCCTTTACTTGGAAGTTTGCTATTTCCTTATACTTAGAAGAACAAGGTAGGGGGCAGGTGTATAGTATCACACGACCCTCGAGGATATATATAGCCAATGTCAGCTGTCTAAATAACCAAATTGTGCACTGAAGCTGTTCAGAAATGCTAGCAGAACAGGCTGGGCTGGGATAATATGCAGGCCCGAGACGCCACCAAGGTACGGTATAGGCTTGGAATATAGTGACAAGTAGGCCAAAATCATTTCATTCACCTACCTAAGTGAAGCACCAACCTGCATTCAATAGTCGCATGCTTACCTCTGTATCGAAAGCCTCACCCTCTCTTCACGATCCTCCCGCAACCTTTCAGCCTCCGCCTCCGTCCTCATAACAGCATCATAACATCCGGCACTTAGCAACTCTCAGCCCACAGGATTCTGCATGAGATGCCAGAACCAGCTTACCACCGCAAGATCTACCAAGGCGCAACTTCGCCACTCAAACACCTCGTACCTCCCTTCCCCTAACCTCACAAGTACCATCTCATCCGCAAATCCACCGTCCACTAAAGAGAAAAGGCTATCTATTCAAGAAAAACCTTCGCTGTGAGCCATATCGGACACGACCGCACTGCTCTTCTCCTGCCAACGGTTTTTCTGCCACGTAGGTAAAACACAACTCAGAGTGACGAGTCCCGCGAACTATATTCCGGAACGCGCCTTCCGGCTGCCACAGAAGAAAAGGTTGCAGGGGAATATTTGGGGTAGACAATTAGAAAAGCAGCGGAGGATGACGGCAAGAGAGGGGGGAGAGCTGGGGGCTCTGGATGGGTAGCTGAGTTGGTGCTCCTGGGCTGCTGGACCCTGACTCAAGGGCATGAATGCAACGGAATCTACTTTGATGAATATCAAACCTGGATACTTGGCCGTGGCCGAATTTCTGGCTACGGTAGTCTAAAGCTGGATTTCATCAGACATTTCAAGTTTCATCCACACTAAAGTGTAGTACGAATTTTGATTACGACCCAATATAGCCTCTTATACTTTGAATTCATTATACGGACGGGGCAACAGCAAGCTTAATCCATAAAACAAATGCATTAGGGTCGTTAACACGATCTCTAGGGACTTCCGTGCTCAACCAAGCAAAAATATCAACCTTCACGCCCTATCCTCGTTTTCCCTAGCCTCTTTTAATCTCCGCGTAAGATAACGCTGGAGATGCACCCAACTTGGAGTATCCGAGGCCAATTCGTGTTGACGCTGCGTGGTAATCGAAAGAGCGCGGAGAAGCTGCGGCTGGACCACATTAAAGGGAGTGCCAAAGTTGTCGATATACGAGAGGAGCTGAGGCACCGCGCGACGCGGCACCTCATGGCTCAAGATCAAAGTTAGCGGACAGTCCCCATCCTCGTTCTCAAAGCATGGGTCCGCGCCTCGGTCAAGCAGGATCTTGGCGGCGTGAGGGGGATAGTCTGTGTAGTCTGCGACGACCTCCATCAATGCAGTACGGTTAAAGTAACCAAGTGCGTTGATATCCACGCCTTGCTGAAGAAGGAAGTCAACGGTGGAGGCGGCAGTATATTTACTTTCTTGCACTACCGCCCACTGAAGCAGCTCTCCTTGCAACTTGTCCTGACAGACATCGAAGCCACGTTCTATGAGAAGCCGTAGGAGTACGCGATTTCCTTTGAGAACGGCCGCCATTATGTATTCGTGCTCACTGGGTTGGGGGCTGAAGCCCAACTGGAATACCTTTCGAATGATAGGTGCCCGACAGTCTGCAAGAGTAGCATGGAAGGGAAAAAGACACCATCTTGCACTCAAAGTGGGATCATTGAACCTGGTAAAGTCCAGGCCTTTGTCGACCATGGCCTGAAGTTTCGGCAAATCTCCATCCATGAGAATACTGTCCAGATCTGGAGCAAATAGATCAACGCCGTGGTCTTCTAGGAGGTTGCGAATGACAGTGTGAGTGATAGCCGCCGGACATATGTGACTCCTATCAGGATCGAGCACTCTGGCCCCATTCTGCAGCAAGAGCTGGACCACGTCCTCGCGGTGCTCTTGAACAGCGAGCCGTAATGGATTACCACCTCGGCTTTCGTCGGGGTCCGCACCACGGGATAAAAGGAGTTGCACAATACTTGCATGGCCATGTTTTGCTGCCAATGCTAATGGCGTATCATAGCAAACTTGCTGTCCCCAGGTCTGCGGCAGTGGCGAAGAATTGACATCCCAACCCTGGTCAATTAACTCTGCGAGGATGTCGGTCAAACCGTTTTTGGCGGCCAGAAGGGCGACCTGGCCTTCCTCTTCAAAGTTATTCCTAGCGGCCTGTGGGTAGTTCATATGTCTCAGGAGGACCTCAACGACGTTTGCATGACAGCGATAGTATGGACCGTGGACCAGTCCCAAGCTTGTACGTGCACCGTGGGTAAGCAAGCACTGAATGACCTCCACGTGGTTCTCTAATGCAGCCAACTTAAGAGGCTCGGAAGTACTGTCCCCCCAGTTAGGATCGGCTCCTCTTTGGAGCAAGAATTTTACCAGATCAACATCCCCTCTATATGCAGCCGCAGAGAGGGCGGTAGAATTATGATTTGCAAAGTTGACGTCGGCGCCAGCGTCAACAAGGACCTTCACAACCTCAAGGTGGCCGCGAGAACTCGCCAGATGCAGAAAGTGCCTGTCGCCGTATGCATTATGAACGTCTATTCTCGCCCCAGACTCCAAGAGAAAACGGACGGTGGATGCATGTCCGTGCTTGACTGCAGTTCCCAGGACTGTGCTGCAAAGAGGGGACCTGCTCCAATCGATGGGGACACGTTCCACCTCCAAATTGAAGTCCAACCCGTGTTCGCACAGGAGCTTCAAAATATGATCATAACCTTTCCAAGCAGCGATAGCCGCCCCGAACGCGGATGGTTTAATACCAGCCTTCAATGATTTTCGGGCAGTCGGTTCTTTGCCGTTTCGAACGGCCCACGCAAAGGCGGAAGCGCGCCCATGTAGCACGTTGTACCGGTACAGATACGGATTCAATATGCTGTAGAGGCGACGAGACACTCGCGAGAAGTTATAAATCTGTCCTTGACTTTCAAGAAAGCCGGCGATGGTGACGATCGGCTCGGGAGCGAGGGTCGAAAAGGGAGACGAGTCAGCTGAATGGAGGATATGCGCAGACATTGCGACGCTGACAGATCGAAGCTTGTCAATTTACGCGGAGTAGGGGCTGAGAGAGGCAAGTATGAACTGCGGCGAGCGAGTGATGTCCGGGTGGCAGGTAGTCTGGAGGGGTGTGATGACAGATTAAAGGCGGAAGGAACAGGGTCCAAGTTGTCAAAACAACACGATCATAGCGGGGTCCATTGAGAAGCGTATCCAATGAGATTGACACGTAAAAGTGGTCTATCTCAACAAGAGTGCGCTACCCTAGGGACGGAGTATGGATGGATCGCAAATCGACCTGCTCAGAATCGCGCTGATTGGCCGTGGACGACAAATATCGGTGCAAACCTGCATATTGCCATACTGAAGAGATTGGTCGGGACAAATACCCAAAGGCGCGTGATGAGACAGAGGGCCTGAGAGCCTTGAGGTGCGGGCCCCGGGGCAAGTGTGTGACATGCACCATCTGGGCCGCATATAATCGAGATCCATCTGTTCGGATAGCCGCTTTGTGTGGTTGTGCTACCAGACATTGCTACCAGAACAGGTGGTGCTCGGATGACGTGCAGGGGTGAGGTATGCAATAGTCCCAACTACCATGGGCCAACCCCCACCTGACTCGAAAGGCAAAGGCTGCAAGTGTGCAACGATGCTCACGGTGCTTGGAAACAACATCAAGATGGCGTATTCCACGAGAAGCTAGCCTCGTCGCAGCTTCAGAGCGCCACTCCCCCTAGTCCCTCTGTTTATTTGGGTCCTCGATCACAACGGTTATTGCAATGGTGATGGCACTCGTCGGCCGCAACAGTCTCCTCTCCATGGCCCAGGATGTCGTGTCATTGCCAGGACACCGGATCGTAGCTCGCCGCCGCCTTGCTCTTGGATTATGTGGTATTTCGGGCGCGCTCGGGGTTTTCGGTGTATGATTTGGCCGTTTAGAATGAGCCGCAAAGCTGTCGTATGGAGTCGTGGCAGTGTTAACTGTGTTGATCGCCTAATTTGCTGAAGTGTTTGGGCCCGAGAAGCGATGCTGGTGTCTTTCTGGCTTTTTCTTGGGTTGGGTCAGCTATCCATCGCTGCGGTATATCAAGAGGAGGGTGTCAGGCCAATAAGTACCATTTGATTCAATTGCTACGCTTGAGAGCGTTCTGTAAGAAGGGGATCGGAAGGTGATGCCCTTGGCAGAAAGAAGAGGTGCACGAGTTGACCGGGGAGACGCTGGAAACCCCGCACCGCAGGCGGAGGGTCCCGACTTTGACAGCCGCCAGGCATCCCCAGCTCCTTCCCTAATTGAACCTTTTCAACTTTCACGTCCTTATAACCAATGGCACAACCGGCCTAGGCTACCATTGCCCTGTCAATCCAAATCTCATCCGTTCAAAGCGTAGGACAGAGCTAATCCAGTCTATATGAACCAACTTTATCAATTGGAGTGTATAGCTGGCCTATTGCCCTTTAGTCAATTAATACCTTTGGTCTAGCGATGCGTTAAAATATCGAGTGGTTTGGCACCACCAGCATCAATATATATATGTATATATATATATATGCCCGGAAGCGAGCTCATTATAATCCACTGACCATGTAACTACTAGCACGCCGATGAAACCAGGGAACAGTTGAACTGACCATGGTCCCGTACGGCAAGAAGCACACAGGGAGTATATGTATGCGGATAAATATACGAGCTCTTCTAAACACGGTCAAGATGTCGGGGTTCGCCGACATTCAGATTGATCTGGCCCGGGGCCAGAATGCGGGGCCCCGGGGTAGACACCCAAACGGGACAGGGACCCGGCGCCATGTGGTGAGCGGGCCTGTCCTTTGACTTCATTACTAAGGAGACAAGATCTCATTATTAACTCATTATTATTCTTATATGTGACTCGTCTCATCTTAGCTCATGGACGTGGACGGAGGTAGGATCAAACACGACCCTAATTATGTACTCAACACAACCCCCATTTTCAACACGAATCTCACTGCTTCGACGAGATCCCAAACTCCTCATTCTCAGCAATCTTCTCAACCGGGTTCGCCGTCTTGTTCATGCCGTTGTTCCCAACAACCTCCGCAGCACCGTTCTCCTCATTCTCAGCCATCTCAGTAAGGAAGAACTCCTCCTTGTCGATGTGGCGGAACATCCAGTAAAAGACCGCCGTGAGGACGAAGCCCACGATCGCTGGGCCGCCGAGGTCCCACGTAAGATATGGATCCCTGATCACGGCGGAACAGGCGAGGCCGATCGCGTAGGCCACGGCCGTGTTGAGCAGGTTGATGGCGGAGACGAGACCGCGCATGTTCTTGGGGGCGCGGGAGTAGGCGATGGCGTAGGCGGGGACGTTGATGAAGAGCTCGGAGATACCGCCGATGGCGTAGGGGATGGCGATCCACTGGGATTGTTAGTACGGGGATAAGAATAATGATATGGAAGGGATAGGTTGTGGACAATGACATACCCAGACGGTGATGGGAGCAACGAGCGCGTTTCCATTCTCGTCGACGCAGGTGTCTGAAGATCCCCACTTCCCGCATGGGCCGAGCTTGTAGGCGTAGTTGTTGAGCACGGTATATCCGACACCAGCGACGGAGGACAGGAGGAGACCCGTTGCCATACGCGCCACAGGTCCGTAGTTGATCTTGTAGCGGCGCAGAAGAGGGTAGAGTCCGTAGTTGAGGATCGGGGCGAAAACGATGATACTGAGTGGGTTCATGTTTGACAGCAGGTCGTTGGGCACACCGTTGGTCTTGAGCATCGTGGAGGTGTAGTTTGCGGCGCTGCCAATGCCGTTGTCATTGATGAATTGGATCGGGAAGAAGCAGAAGATTCCGGTTGCCTGGAATGTGCGGCGGACATCCTCGACGAATTGGTCGTTCCAGCGGGTGGGGATGTTGAGGCCTTTGGCGGCGATGACAGAGGGCTTTGCGGCGTCCCAGAACCCGTGGCGGCCGATGCGGAAGATCCCACCGCGGGAAAGACAGATCTTCAGGACGCGGACAACGTTGGGAAGGTCACTGCCTCCGGGAGGGAAGAGGACGAGGCGCTTGCGGAGCCAGAGCTGTGTTGCATTAACAACCAGTTCGCGGACGTCCGGAAAGAGAACATACCAGCATAAGAGGCAGAGGAATGTACAGGAACAGCGGCAGGATAAACGCCAGCCACCAGCCGACGTACTTCTCAGCGTAGGAGGTGGCAGTCTGCATGAAGCCACCGATATTGATGAGCAGATAGAACCACAGCATGGTGCGCTCCGATGTGGCCTCTGGGTCGACAATGACACGCTCGCCGCTGGCAAGGACCTTGATCTTGGCTTTGTCGCGGGGCATCTGGTCGAGAAGAAGCGGGGAAACGTTGGGCTTGAACATGGCTGCGCTGGTCAGTATCAAATCTCGGTAATGCCCAAACACGGGGTAGACGTACAAGCACCAACCGAGAGCATATACAGCGAGAGAAAGTATGGGGCCTTGGCACCGCCATTCGCGAGCAATTTTGGCGCAGTTGCACCAACCATGAGAACGTGCGCAACACCGAACACGGCCACACCGTACAAGATCATCTTGAAGCGGCCAGTGAAGGCATCGGACAGGTAACCGAAAAACATGGGCAGAAGATATGCCAACATGCTGAAGGACTGGCTGACGGCATTGGCCTTCACCGTGCCCATACCCAACGCACCAGCAGTATCTTGCGTCCCCCGCGCAGGAGCACCGTATCCATTTCCGCCAACAGGCATCGGTCTGTTCACAAAATTTGAGATGAGCCTGCGTCGGGGTCAGTTTGAGTATATTTGTTCTTATATTGAAAGGGCTCAACCTACCCGGACACACCGAGGTACGAGGCGCGCTCGCAGAACTCGGCGACACAGATGAAGTAGGCCACTGTCGGAATAGAGCCGGGAATGCGGCGGAGGGTCTTGAGCTCCTCGTCAGTGGGCTCTTCGTACTCGGAGACGGCGACGACATCTTCGACAGCGGGGACGCCGGTCTTCTCGGTGGACGCTGGTGGTGTTAGCTGGAGCTGGGAAAAGAGGCAAGGGAGCATACCCATTGTGCAGGTGGAGGCAGTACACAAATACGTTGAGAAGCGTGCCTGAGAAGCGTACGGACCTGAGGGGAAACGATCGTCAGGACTCAGGACAGTTTAAATACCTTTCGAGCGTGTCCGGGGAGCGAGGATGGCGTGCTATCTGTGGTGGTCTCCAGGATGTAACACTACCCCGTCCTTATCGGCCAATGGCGACGCTAGACGGCGCTAGACCAGAGCGATAAGGGGCCAGCCTATCACGCGATCAGCAAATGCCATTGCCCAAGCACTCTTAGTGCGTTCAAGCACGCCTAGCACGCTTAGCTGCTCTTAGCTCTATAGCGGGCGTCTTATAACTTATGGCCGCCTGTCTCGGAGATTTCGGCTGAACGTGGCGTTGGGTTGCATTCTTTATCACCAGTTTAGATTAACTGCGGTTCGCTTCGGCTTCTCGACAGATTGCACGCGTCTGATACGATCGTTCGTGTCGGTTCTCTTCACCAGGTCATATTTCCAATGCTTAATCTAAGGCGCTCCACCCAGTGGCGACTGCGACTGACTCGATTGGCGATATCGGCTTTTCGGACAATTCCGCTTGCCAGGCTCCAGCCTCCAGCCGTCAAAGAAACGTACCCACTGCGATAACGTTGGCAACTCCACCAAGGAACACCCCACCACCACCACGCCCGACACCCCGGGACACGTCCCAGGGGCCAGCTGGGAGAGCGTCCCCAGCAGTAACATCACTCGCAGTGGCCTCATCGGAGCCCGCGGCCGTTGTGGGCCAGTAGCCTGCGTACTAGCGGGTTCAGCAATGGTTCCTGGCGATAAGGAGAGGTCGCTGGACGTTGTGCTCCCTACCCAAGGGTCATCGGGCACTAGGATTGTGCTGGTGCTTTCGTCTTCCGCAGCGATGTGCGTCATGTTGCTTGCTCTTCCCAGGCCACAGTATGGACGCGGGTATCATTGGAGCTGGGCCAAGTGAGGAGGTAGGTCGTCGCTGTGGCATCATGCTCCTTGCTGATAAGATAGAGTGCAACAGAGTGGATAAGGATGAATGCCGGTGTCCCGAATTCGCGATTATCGAGGCCTGAACGGAAACCAGTGGGTCGTGTGGTTCTAGCTGGGGAAGAACATGGAGCTGATGGTGCTTGCGGCTGAGGCGAACCAGGCCAGAGCCGGTATCCTGAGGGGGGATTGGAGATGCACCTGCATTTTGCTTGTTCTCGAGTCGACACAATCTTGTACGATTGGCTGTTTAAATTCCAGACCTCGGTCCGCGCTCCAGCTGATGTTCAACCTTTGATCATTTGACTGCCTTTGTTCTCAAGCACACCTTTGACTTACAAAAAGAGACGCAACTAAATCAACGGCGAAGAATTCGCGTTCGTTAGAAGATCAGGGGCAGAGCAGTCAAAAACACAGCGCAACCAAGATCCCCATACTTCCGGTTAGTTGTCAATGGCATGGCACATTAGCAGCGGTTATTTCACAGTTTTCGGTGGACAGCATCTTAACAGTAAGATAAAATACATATGTTCCCAATAGTAAGCTATCGACAAGCCTCAGAGTTGCTGGGATTATAACAAGCAGGGTCATTAGGTATTACACGAGCAAGCTGGGGTGGCGCAACCGACACTTTACACGTTACTGACTTTACGGTACCGGCCCCCAGAACCACGGTCCACATGCATGGCGCGAAGCTAAAGCACAAGCGAGCCCAATCATTCTATTTATCACCATGTGGCGTCCAGAATCGCCCCGTTGGGACTAGTTCGGATCGGATCACTCCGCCTGGACCCTGACTTGGTTGCATT